GAAACCACGCCTTTGCCTCAGTACAGTAATGGCCAGAGGCATCGTTGGGGTAGTGTCACATCCCCTACACACAACCCAGACTTTTTCTTCACTTGGATCTTCCTTGCTCATATGTTTGCCCCTTCCCTTGCCTTGGTTATGATCGTGAGCCTTGCCCAAGCTCCCAGTACATGAGGCACATTGCTCATGGGCGATTTCGGCCTACATTTTGATAGGCAGGCCCTATGCATTTTCCACCAACAGCCTGCCGCTCACTGCTCCACTTGCTATTGCTCCTACCATGGTGGACATTCGTCTATGTCTTGAATTTGATCCAAGTTGATGTCCCAGGTGTACTCGTCAGAAACCCCCCTCTTCTAGCATTGCCCTTATCCGATTACCCATCCCAAATAGGCGTAGTGGTTGAGTGGGCGATGACCGCCTTGTTGGCAGCAATTATTGGGGCCAAGGTCTTGTCCACTTCAGCCATGCTGTTATGCACCTTGTTCAAGTTTGTGTAGCATTCATGGTTGGGATTTGCCGTCATCGAGCCCTTCATCTTGCATTTTTTCAATGGGGGGATGGACTTGTGAGGCTTTGTGGATCGCAACTAGTCTTGTGCCAGCCGGACAAACTTCAGAGCCGTCTTCTATTGCCGGAGCTTTGTGTAGTGCCTTAAATTACACCAGGAATTCCTGGTGACTTCTAAGTCATCTTTGTGGAGGCTCATCAGCTCCAGCTGTAGCCTATCCCCGTAGTGGCAATAGTAGGCTTTTAGTATGTCCTTTATATACCATGGCTACTACGCATAGACTACAAACCAGCGTGCTTGGTGCTTTTCTTGTAGCCAGTATTGGACCATGTTAGTGAGCGAGCGACATTTGGAGCACGTTGCAAGTACAGTTGATAATGTCTCCCCATGGTGTTGGACGGCCCCAGGTGCACCACGCTTCCACCTATGACCGTCCAAAACCGTGGGTAGACACTGTCGGCCATGCTTGCAACTTACTCCTAAAGTCGCTGATGAACACAGTCCAACACCAGCTACAAGAAGAGCACCAGACACGCTGGCCCTTTGTGTCCTGTGCACAATAGACATAGGGTGTTCAGGACATACTGAAGGTCTACTTGCGCCACTACAGCTACAGGCTAGAGACTGAGGTGGTGACCATCCTAAAGGATGCCTTACTTGAGACTCTTAAGGCATTTCGTAAGCTCCAGGAACAAAAGACACGACCTTAAAGTTCGTCCGGGTGGTGCGAAGTCTGTTGTGGGCCACAAAGTGCCCCAATGCCAACCCCGACGTTAATGCAATGTAAGGCAAAGTGTTGGACGGTAGCGACGTCGCACCCTGAAGGCTACACAAACTTGCACAAGTACGTTTGCATAAAACATGGCTAAGGTGGGTAGGACCCTTGCCGCGGCAACAACAGTGAACAAGACGGCCATCGCCCACTCAGGCCTTGCCATTGGTTGGGACTAGTCGTTAGACATCGACATTGCTGGGAGAGGTGGCGATGAAAAGTCCATCTAGAGCATTAGCAAGGGTGCCATGCAAGACATAGAAGAATATATTATTTAGGTAGTTGAGGTCCATTGTAAAGACAATGGGTGTATTTATTGTTGAACAGGATGTCTGAAATTCGTAATCATCTATCCATGGATGCCATTTTTTACAAGATTTAATTGAAAATTTAGTTTACAGCTTGCACCTGAACATGCAGACAGTGGCTCCATGTACTCTCCTGATCTGCGCCTGCCAGACAACTGAGCTCAAAACCTCGGGAAATATGCAACAAGGTAACACACGAGTCGCTGCAACCGTCCTCTGGGGTCAGAACACCAGTTATGTAGGCCGTGTAGTGTTGCTGGCTTGACAATCATTGTGGCATTCTGGGATGCCCCAAGACAGGGAAGCGTATGCCACCTTGCGGAAGATACGTCATTGTAAATGTTACATTGTGAAAGATATGCACACTTCATGTGCGCACACGCGTGAAGCACATCAACGTCATCACCAATTTCTCAATCAAGCGCAGATCATCAATGTGATCATCAAACAGAGGCAGGTTGCCTCACAGCAGCCGCCGCCATAGGCCGCAATTCTATATGGACTGGTGATAAACATCCATGGGGAATTCTTTGTTTCAAAAATGCACTGCAGTGGCCTGGTCGATTTCTGTTTGGAGAACGTACTGCACCAGACAAGAATATTCCAGATCCCGCACTATCTGCATCCAAGTAACCCTGTACTGTTTCTGTTGCTATTTTCCATGGAACCAATTGAGTTTGTTCCCAAGGGGATTACTTTTTTGGGAGCCATTCCGCAATCGGAGGTGGCTTTGTGAGTGTTCTGGCTTAATGCCAGATAGACTTTAAAGATTACTCAAGCCTCGCGGAAGGTAAGCGGTTTTGCAGAACAAGACAAATTCGTTCACAGCCTTCGCCGGTCATTGAGAAAGTTGAGCAACCAGGTCCTGCAAGCTAATGCACTACATACCAGTGTTGTCTCACTCGTTCATTTTGGTATCTTTTTCCCAAATCTGGCCCCGACTGGCCAGCGCAATAACAGAATCCAGCCATCCACCCCAGCTTGTCCGGCCTGGCTTATCCTCCATCAAAATCCCATCACAACTTACTGTGGTACATCCCCCTTACCTCGCTGACTGTCCCATACCCAAACAGTACATAACTACATCCTTTGCGGTGTGCGCCCGCCAGTGCTCGCAGGTCATCTTCCCGCATACCGCTTTTCAGAGATCCACTCAGAATTGTGCCACCATTCGGCGGCCGTGACAACACCGTTTCTGTTTCTGTTTGTGCCGTTGCCTTGAAAGGCCAAATTTGCCGGCATCTTACGGAACCGTCGCCCGACGGTTCCGTAAGATGCGGTACGTACTGGATCCCGCAAAATCTGTACCTGAGGCAGAGCTCACCATCGCATCTTCGATTGTTCACGGTGCGCCCGACAGCGGAGCGCCCCCGCCGCCAGAATTCACGCCCCCGGCAGAGTCATGTGCGCCGAGGGTCGGCCAGGTGCACGCCTACTGGCAGCAATGCAGCGCCACCGTCGCTGGATCACTTGCATTTAGGTCACCAGCAGTCCACATGTGCGAACGCAGTCATCCTGGCTGGTGACCAAAACCGCCAGCCAAGCAGTACTTTGGGATCGCACATCTTAGCCTATCAGCGCGGCAGAGACTCCCAGCGGGACACGCCTGTGAACTACTGGTGACAAAAGAGACGTAAGGGGCCACCCTGGACTGGGTGCGATTTCCTGTCTCACCTCCACATCTGTACCGCTCCATCAGCGACCAAGTATGGGCGGCCCATGTGTGCGGGCCATTCACAGCTGACGCGCGCCCGCCACCCGTCTCGGGCGTCGCCCACCAGCCAGCGCCAGCCCGGAAGACGCCCAGCACGTTCGATGCGCCGAGCGCAGGTGAGCACCGTCAAGCTAAGCAAGCCAACTCACTTCAAGGTCGGAAGGACAATGTCGGTGCGGCAAGGCCGCCTGACGCATGGGGAGTGGGTTGGCGAGAGGCAGAAGTGATGTGTTGGCATGCTCAAAGCCCTATGAAGGAGAAATTGCGCTCTCGCTGCGAGATCTCGCGCACCAAGAGCGCGGCCTTCGGGCGAATCCGGCGCAGCATGGGTCCTTTTCTCGATCGCCATGGATGGATGTGTCATGCATGGATCGATTGGGCCCGGGTGCATGCCACCAGGGCGGCGCGATGCGTGATGTCCGCGCAGCGGCCGGGCGATGGGACCGCGCCGGACGGCCGCCCGCGAGGGTCGCCCAAGGGCGGAGTCAGCTCAACCGCGGCGAACGGAGCCTCGGCGCAAGGGGGTGGGAGGCGGGGGGTGGGCCGCGACGCGAGCACCGTGGACCGTGGACCGCGTGCACCTCACGGCATGATTCAGCGACGACATTCGTCGAAAATTCGTAGAAAATTCCGAGAGAGGAGCGGCGGGTTGGCAGCGCTGGGTTGTGGCGATGCTCCTCGGCGGATGCGCCACGGCGGCGCTGAGCGCTGCGTGCATTTGCGTTCGGGGACGGCGATGGCTGGAGGTCATGAATGGCGGACGGGCTGCCGCGCGGACAGGCGCGCACCTGTGGGTCATTAGGCAGGCTGCGGAAATCGCCTAGGAGGTGCCCTTTTGGGACCCCCGAAGAGGGCTCTCAAATCGGGAGTCTGGGCCGGCTCATGCTGCGCGGGGGCGCGCCAAAGGGTGTAAAGATGACCGCACATGATGCGGCAGCTCTTGCTGCGGCGGCGGCGAATTGGGGGGCCTTGCTGGTTGCCATCGATGGCGTTGTCCGCGGACGCGTTTTTTGATGGGCTGCCGTTCTACCTACAGGGCAGCTGCGTCGATTCAGGAATCGCGCTGAGTCGCTCGGCATGCGCATTCGGCCGTTAGTTCAGCGTGCATGTAGCCCTCGTGCTCGGCCAGGCGTTTTCCCAGTGGCCAGAATGGCCAGGAATGGGGCTGGGCGTGCAGGGGAAGGATGCCGCGGCGCGGGGTTGAGCAAGCGGCCGAGTTGGGCACCTGCACAAGCGCGCCAACAGGCGGCCGCAATTTTTCGGTTGCGGCGCACTGTGCCACCATTCCAACCACTGTCCTCGTTTGGTTGGAGCTTGGCCGATGCCCTTCGTGCACCATGGCGGTCTGTTGTGATGCACGTTTGTTGTCCACAACGAAACGCGCACCGGGGGCGTCAGCGCCCGGCAGGTGCCCAGCCCTGGCACATGCTTGTCACGGGACACGATCGATTCCAGAGACTCAAGGCCCACTCCTGGTTGCAAGTGTCCTTTCCATGTCAACAATATGCTCTTCAAGGCCAATTCCCAGCGTTTTCGCTGGAGCTCAGAATACGCATTTCCAACAGACCACTGGGCACCAATTGTCGAACTACTCATCGCGGCCTGTTTCACGCTGGCAGATATAGCGGGCTGGCGATTCGGGATACCCTCCCCCGGGAACAGGCTTAAGTACGGCGCGGCCAGTAGTTGACGGCCATGTACTTTGCCGGACCCAACTACCTGGATTTCCGAGACCTCTACGTCACATGCCTCCAGCTGGCCACAACCGTGGGGGTGGCCATTTCTGTGGTCATCTCAGTGGATAGGTGAGAAATGAACAAAGCAAACGTATCCGAAATGGCATTGAACAGTGGCTGTATCTTCAGGTGAGAAAAAGAGCCATGCATTGCAGGTATCATATGCTTAAGGCTGGTTGAAAGTGCCCATAAAGACCTGTTGTTGTTGTGTTAAAAATGTGTTGTTTTGCAAAACGGTCGACATCACTTGATTTCGCTGTGCTTGTCACAGCTAGCAAACGACTTGAAGGTATTTATAATACTCCATGCATGGAATAAAATTGTGCAATGTGGCCAGTTGTGCAAATTATATGTGAAAGTTCGGCTTGCGGAGCCCTGCCTCACCCTTGTCTCCCTTTTGGACAGGCTGGTGCACGTTCTGAAGTATTTCCAGATTAAGATCAGCTCGAGGATCAGGGGATCCTCGCCTGCTGAGAAGTTCAGGTTCAAGAGTCTTCCCGAGCCAGTGAATTTTTCCCACATGTATCCCAGGGTGGCCGTCCAGCTGCCCATGTTCAACGAGCGCTACGTTTGCCAGGACATCATCAACGCCGCATGCTCCCTGTCGTGGCCCAGAAATCGCCTCATGGTGCAGGTGAGGAAGGAGAATGCCGTAGTACATTCAACCCTTACTGCACCGAAAGATTTACCGTTACGCTTTCTGCTCCGCAGTTTTGTGTTCATAGCGTTATCTCCTTTTCATTGTTGCTCCGCAAATATTTTGTTAGTATCTCTCTGCAAAAAAGGCCAAGCATTACTATGCGTTGCTATGTGGATGGGTTGAATATTTCACATAAGCTTGACAGTGCTGCAATTGCAGCTGACTTGCAATTCCTAATGCAAAATGTGAACGATAACGGTCGTCTTGGATGGTTCGCAGAGGTAGTATAGTCAACAAAAAATTCATAATTATGCTCCTGCGACCATCGCCATCAGTAGTGCGTAAATTCTGTGCTCAAGTGTCGATCTGGAGCCTTCGAGACAGGGACGCCACTAAACGCTGAACAGATCAACGGAATGAAACAATTTCTAAAACGAAACAGTAACGCTACAGCTGTAGTGGGCGTTACCCTAGGCCTAACAGGCGTAGATCGCATTGCAACGCCACTTGTCTTTGCGCAACCACATACAGCCCACACAGCGGCGCCCTGCGAATGCAACCAGGGTCACCCTGGCAAATGCAGCTGAAAAGCATGTCCACTGCACCCCATATGCCACAGATAACCTTTTGGAGAGAAGGGCCGCAACACGCCCTGCCAATTGCATAACAAGTGGCGTGGATTGATGACAAGCAGCATCTCTGATCTGCGCTTCAGGTGCTGGACGATTCCACTGATAAGGAGACAAGGCAGTTGGTGGACGAAAAAGTGATGGAGTGGCGGGATAGGGGAGTTAATTGCGTCTGTATCAGGCGGACCAACAGGCAGGGGTACAAGGCGGGGGCGCTGAGAGAGGCAAGTCGCGGGCATGGATTTGGATATGAGCATGCTGTACTTAAATGCGCATTTAAATATGCGACCATTAATTGAAGAGTATTACATGCACGAGCATTTAACTGTTTGGTTTGGGATGAGTGCACAGAAAGGGGGCCCTTGAAGTGGAAGCATGACATTCCGAGAACATGGCCCAAGGCTTGCATAAAGAACTTTATCTTTTGTAATTGGGACCAGCTGGTGCCATGTGACGTCTGTTGCTCATTTGACATTGGAGGCGTTCGAACTGATGAAATATGTCAAAAAAAATAAAAAATATGTAAAATGGCTTTTCTGTAAACCTGTGGTGTTTCAACTGCGTTCTTTTAGTCTCGGAGGTCGGCGCCTGCAGCGATGCACATAACCAGACTTTTAGCCTACATGGAAAATGGACACAGTTTTTTTTCTGCAGAATTTTATGTTGGTCGGAGTCCTTGTTCATAGAATTATGTGAATTAGATGACTCTGAGCGAGCAGCACAGCTGAATTTGATGCATCTGGTGAAGCAGTGTTACTTCAATTTGTCGCATATGGTGAAGCATACTTACATTTCTGTGATGTGTGTTGCTGACCGAGCGTTCATTTCATTTGGTCTGCAGGGGTTTGAATTGCTTATTTCATATGAATATATAGCTATTTTTGATGCTGACTTCAAGCCAAAGTCTGACTTCCTGGTAAGTGGAAATTCCTTTGTCCATCGTGTTTCCACGCAGATCTCTAAGGTGCCACTTTCAGTTTGCAAGGAGATGGCTTTCTCAACTCGAGGCTAAGTAGAATTGGCTCGAGACAAGCTTAAAAAGTGTAACTAATTTCATTGACACCATCGCCATTGACTATATCTTTCTCAGCCAAAATTGGACGCTAATTGTGCTCCTAGCGGGATGGTGCTGCCTCGCAAATTCAAGAAGTTGCAAAACCTTGACAAGGCTGCGGTATATTGCCCTACTGATAGGTTTGCCAGGTATCGGAAAAATATCGCTATGGCATTAATGGGAACAAGCTGAAATACAATCATACAGGTTTAATGGTATGAGACTGTTGGTGCAAGATCCGCGAATTATTGTTTTGGTTCGCGATCCCTTGCAATGCCAAGAAACTTCTAGGTTGCTAGCACAGCTGGAAATTTCATCCTGACAGCTTGTGTGTGCGAATGCAGCACCGCACGATCCCATATTTGCAATGCAACGATGAGCTGGGCTATGTGCAGACGAGGTGGGAGTTTGAGAATCCGGATGAGTCGTACCTCACAAAGGTAAGCCCGTCATTTGTCGCTGTCGTTCCACCGCTGTTACCTCTGTCGTGCTGTTGACAGCCAAGTGCGATGCCCATTTTCGTTGGAGTCGTATATGCTATGGCAGCATGTTGCTCTCCATAGTGGAAATGCCTACATCGCGTCGCTGTGCACACCATATTTGGTGAGATTGGTTAGACACCAAATAGTAGACCCACGCTGGGTGAATGCGATATACAGCTGTGGTACGGCACCAAACACCTGGAAGAGTACTGAAATTGCGAATTGCGACCTCAACGCTTTGGAACATTGCTGACACGTCCATCAGCCACTCGAGCTGCAAGGCAATTTTTTTGTGTGTTTTCAGTGCACATCTAATTCAATGACAGGTTGTTGTTGGTTGCGTTTCAATGCCTGCACTTCCTGCCATCCACAGTTCAGCGCTTCCAAAGGGATCACCCCCTCCCTCTCGCTCCAAATAGCTGTCTTGCAGCAAATCTCCGCAGAATTTCCGGTTGGCCTCCTCTTATCACCAGTAGGAAACAGCCTGTTTGCGATGCCAATTGCGACGCCATTTTGACACAAATTGATGCCATCACAGCCACTTTTATGCCATCGCAATCACTGTGACGGCACCATTTTGTGTCAAAATAGTATCGCAGTTCGCATCGCAGACATGCTGTTTTCTACCAGTGTATATAATCCACGCTACTCAGTAGTTGTGTGCGATTGTGGCGCAGGCACAGGAGATGTCCTTGAACTTCCACATGAAGTGCGAGCAGTTCGTTCACTCGACGTACGGGTCGTTCTTCAACTTCAATGGGACGGCAGGTGCGTCGCCCCCCAAAAGTGGCACAATATGTTGTTCCGTTTCTGTGAAATCTATATACGATACGATATTTATGAATAACGTACGCTATAAGTAACGTAAATACTAATTCGCATTTTTGCAACGAAGCGGCTTGCTTATGCGGAAAAGCGAAAATCATAAAACAACGCTCCTCCAGAGAAATGCGGAAGCGCAAAACCCTTGGGGAAAAAATGACGCAGAATTTTCTAGCACGCGCTCACCGGGCACTATCCGAGCGACCTGTGGGTTGGGCGCGCCCCGCCCCATCCCCGCTTGCGCAGTGGCGGACGCTGTGAGCAGCTCAGGATGATTTCCGGCCCTATCCAGCGCCGGCAGTTGAACGGTCGTCTTTGCAACGCTCCACAAGGATACAGTGCCTGCGTAGCTGCGAACTGCGCGTCGACTGACCCTTGCAATTCTACCCACCAGCGCCTGTGGCCGGCCGCTCCAATCTGTCGTTTGCACCCGGACACAACCAAACAAAGATGGCCGATTCGCCCTGCCAGGGCCACTCGGCCTCTCGCCCCGTCATGTGAGCGAAGCTGATGTTTGCAATCACCGTTTGTTGGCCATGTTCAGCCGCCGATTCAGCTCACACGGTTTCCTGCTCCCACCAAACTCTGGTGTCTGAGCGCGACCAGAAAGAAAAGCATTTGCGTCGGCACCTAGGCCACCCAGGCTCTGTTCCTGCTTCTGCGACCGCTGGAGGGATGACAGTGAACCGAAAAAGAGGGCGAAGCTGCTGTGGGAAAAAAGCGGAGAAAAGAGAAAATAAAAATGTGACCCAAAAATTTCAGCAGGCGTATTCCGCATTCCGCATTGCGAAATGCAGCAAAAAACGACGGTGAGTTCAAAATAGTGTTTCTGCACGGGAAAGTACAATTGCAAAGCAGGATCCTATTTTGCGAATATGAATAATGGTGCATTCAAATTCTGAAAGCAGGATTCCGCTGACGCACGTAATGCTGACGTAACACAGGATTCTGCATCCTGATCGGAGCCCTGAGGCAATTTTCAGCCCATCCTGCAATGGACACAGACTGGCATTTCTAATCACGAACATTATTGGGTGAATTTTTTGGTGCCAGATTGAACCCAATAGCGTCTTGCGTGCCAGTGCTTCTCGGCTTCATTTTTTCTGCCATTGATGGCAATGGCTCTAAAATTATGCTCATTGTGCCGAAATGTGACTTTACGTGATAATCAATTGCCGTTGTTTGTCCTGAAGGTGTGTGGCGCCGTTCTTGCATTGAGAGCGCGGGAGGCTGGAATGGGCGCACCACTGTGGAGGACATGGACCTGTCGCTCAGGGCATATCTTGGAGGCTGGCGCGCACTGTTCCTGGACGACACGACGTGCATGAACCAGGTAAGCAAGGAAAACCTAACGTTCAAGTACGTATCTTTAATTGCGGATTACCGTATGGTTGTAAATTCCCGGGTCACGTCCTTATGTCCTCGTAACTTGGGCTCAGCTCGGCTATTTCTGTTTTGGAAGTGAAGAGCTCCAGAACTCAGGACGCTTGAACGAAAGGCATTTTATGCGATTCTGCGGCTCTCTCCCGGCAGCTGAATCTTCGCTCATGCGCCCTAGGTTACCGCAAGTGATTTTTATACATTCTGCCGCCGATTTGCGGAGAAATTTTGTTCAGCTTGGTCGCCGTATGACCATGGAGCATGCGGCTTATTCTGAGAGTGCGTGGGATGCAGCTGCCCTCCTCCTTCTCGGCATACCGCAAGCAGCAGCACCGCTGGACGTGTGGCCCTATCCAGCTGTGGAGCCGCGCCAGCGCAGCCATCTGGGCCTCCAAGATCTCGCTGCTGAGCAAGGTGGAGCTGAACATCATGTACTTCTTCATGAGGAAGTCCGTCATGCACTTCGCGTCTTTTGGGTTCTTCTGCTTCCTCGTCCCACTGTCGGTGTTCACCCCTGAGGTGAGGACCCGAGTAACGATGGGGATGGTGTAGTGATAGTAGCGTTGTCGAAAGCTCTCTAAGTTTCGTTGCTCAATTAATGAAGTTCAGTGTGGTTGAGAATCTAATTTAAATAACATAATTGAATGCTGAATAAACGGTGAGAGTTGCGCGATTTGATTCCATTAAGCGCTGACTGCAGTATGAGCACACCAAATTCAAAATTTTCAATGTACGACTCGCGCTGAGACATCGAAAAAAGGCAGAACTGCGCTCAAGTGTCCTTACCAGGAAATCCTAAAGGTTAGATAGTTGTGAAAGTTCCACCAGCAGACGGTCGCCAAACTGGGGTTCAAATCGTGCATGGCTACATTTTGCAATTTGTGGATCATAAAGGAGGTACCGCAGATGAACGTCGTGACCACGCTGTGGTTGCATGTTGCGCAGTGCTCATGCCACTGAAAAACTTGATTGGCCGCTGGGTACTGTTGGAAAGGATGTTTTCCTGATGTCCTTTCGACGCGCTTGCTTTCGACAGGTGTCCATACCAATGTGGGCCCTTGTCCAGCTGCCGGTCACCGTGACGCTCACAACCGCCTTATTCACTCCCAACGGCTGGGCGTACGCGATCCCCTACGTGCTCTTTGAAAACGCCATGGGGATCGTCAGGGTCACGGCTGCTGTTACCGGTGAGACGACACCCCCTTGCGCCATCCAATGCTGGTGGCCAACGACAAAAGAGAGGCAGCCACCCAGCTGCAGTTGGATTGAGCCAGGAGATCGCGGTGCTTAAAATCGTGTGGACACATTTTGCCACACTCAAACAATCGCCATTCCAACAGCTTCCCATGGTCTAAGCCTGTGCCGAGTGAATCTGTTCACTTTGTGCCTGTGTAGTATGCCTGCAAGTTTCCTGCATTGTGACCGCCTCATGACGCTGACCTAATCAATCCAACATTGCGATGTCATATACGATATCATCTTTAATTACTGATAGCGTTAAATTGGTTTAACTCTGTACGAATGCGCAGACACTTCCGCCGCGGCGTGGCGCTCTCTTATTGACATCATCCGTGCGTGCAGGGATCTTCGACCTGGGCAGAGCGCACGAGTGGATAGTCACCCAGAAGGCCGGGAGGAAGGAGCACTGCAGGCCGTGCGCCCGGACCTGGATCCGCCTGTACGTGGCCGAGACGCTGATGTCCATCTTCATGCTTGCATGTGCATCGCACGCGGCCTTCGCCATTCACCGCTGGATGTTCTCCGTCTTCATCTTCCTGCAGGGTGAGAGCCCAGTGGTCGTCAGGCCTTGGCACCCGTTCTGGAACGTACTGTTTCTGGGCGGACACTTTGAATATGCCCGAATGGGAAGAGAAGCAGTGATGCATTCTGATGTTGTTCAAGTGGTCAATGCGCCGTGGCGCGCAAGAGTTAGCTACAAGGCGCATGTTCGGCTTTTTCGGTGTTCCTTGTGTACGGTGTACATTCGAGGAAGCCCGAGGGGGTGCTGCAGCTGCCGTGGCGCGCATTGGGGAATCGCTGAGCAGCCTCCCTACGTTGCTGACCGTAGTTCTGCTTATTAGTCTTACCACTGATGAGATGATGTGCCGCCGATGAGACTTATCACTGTTGAGATGTGCCACTGATCAGTCTTGTCACTGTTATCAGATTGTTTCTTTCCAGCAATCTCGCAGAAGAATCGCGTCCCCTCTGCCATTCTGTTCACAGAAAACGTCTTCGAACATTCCCATGCCACAGCACTGTCAAAAATACAACTTTCTCTTCAGGTGCATACTACTGTAGTAATATAGACAGCACATGTAATCGTGCAAACACGACGCAGAAAGGATGGAGCTATTCCCACCATCACCTTGCAGGTGCAACGGCGGTGTTTTGTCGTGTGTTCTATCAATGCAATCAACCGATGAACATTGCCCCAACCTTCTACAGACAGCTTTGCATCTATTTGCCTGGTGCCACTTTATGACGTCCAGTGTTTTGAGCTCAGCTGCCACGTTTTGCGCAGGCATCACTTTTCTGGCTTTTGGAGTGAATGCCGTGGATTGCGGAGGCCTGTTGGGGCGCCGGGTGTACAGTGTAGAGAGGGCGCTCAGGGGGATTGAAAACGTCATTGCCACGCCGAGGGCGCTGAGGCAGTCGAAGGCCCCAGACACACACGAGCAATGGACGCCGTTGATCAGCAAACGATGCAACAGCTTGTCCACTACTTGCAAGCGCATCCCCTGCATCACCATATCAGCGTGACTGAGCTGCATGGCGAGCTCCAGATGCCATGATGGGCAAGGCGTTGGCTGTTCAAAGTTGGTGGCTTTGGCGGGTGCAATCGAAGGCTTCAGCTAGCGGGGGTGAGATCAAGTTATGTCAGCATTCAAGCACTTAGACCAAGGGGGCGGGGGGCATCTGCGACAATCACATGTACACTACAAGGGATGAAAGCATGTGGAGGCGGTTTTTACCTTTGTCACGTTTTGCTTTTTTGGAGACTGAGAGGAGTGGGGCTTGGGGGGATTGAAGGAAGGGAATGGGCGGGATGTCGATGGTCTGGCGAGGGGCGTGAGGAAAGTGCCACTGGGCTGTGTGATGTGGGCTCTTGGTTGCAGATTGGTGTTCATGACAGTACCAACGAATGCTCAAGGCAGATACATGGAATGTGTATAGGTGGCTCAGAACAGGGGACAAGCACGACACGCATTCACTGCCTTATCGGGTTCCTCAGTTTAACAAGTAGTTGACTTGGGAGAAATGAATGCACAATTTGCACCTTTCAGTGTTCTGTGGTTGCATCCTCATGTCGACTGTAATGGTCCTTCCAATCGGAACGGCCGCTACTCAAAAACGAAGGGTAGATGAAGGTGCGCCACGTAGAGGGAATGGTTAGAGCTCGACCCTCCACGGTGCATCGCTCATCAGCGGAATGACTGTACATTCTAGCATGTGCATTGTTGATATTGTTACTCCTGTGTTCCAATGACTGATTTCGAAGTTGTCTGGGCTCTCTTGGACGGCAAGGAGAGCGGGGCTGTGCTCAGATTGGTGTCTGTCGATGAGGCGAGACGAAGCTGAAGGGCAGTTCCGGGTCTGATGGTGCGGTGGCAGCAGGTGCCTCCGGCCGCGGTTGGCGCCTTGTGTGTTTGTGTATATGTGGACATTCTTTGTGGTGCGGTTCTGGTGGGCCGAATGTGGCGCAGCAGCCCCGGGGCGCCTGAGGCACCCCACTGCGCATGTGCGAGCTTGGCTGTGCTCACGCGTGCTGGGACTGATACTTCCTGTAATGATATGTCAAGCTGGCAATTGTAAAAGGGTGGAAGACACGGCTTCGCGTGCTTGTGCCTGGTTTCCTGCGTGACTCCGCGGTGTTTGCGCCATACGCTCTGAGCGCTGAGATTGAAAAGTTTGGTTGAAGATGTGTTGAGCGTTGATGCGTGCTAAATGATTCAGAGTTTTGCTGGCCACCAGTTTTTGTACATTCCAATGAAAACTGGTCAAGCGCATGGGCCCCTGTGACGCTTGAAGGCGGAAAGATAAACGGAAAAGGGGATATGAAGATGAGTTTAAGCGGGTGCAGCAACAGCCGCACAATCGTTGAGATTTGCAAGATGCTGAGTCGCACACCACCTACGATGTGTGGCGGTGTTGATGGACGCAATTATTGCATTGGCCGAAAGTGGTGAAGCTGATCTACAATGGATGTGCGCTACGCGAGAGGAGACAGTGAATGCCGCACCGCAAGACTTGCACGCCACCGGCATTCAGAACTGACCACATAGAACCAAAGCAAATCATCGAAGCATCGAACCAATGAAGCCATCTTACTTGTTCACTGTCAGAATGCAACCCATCCCCTGCCTCAATGCATTTTCAGGCTCATGCCACTTGCGCGTTGGAGCGGGTGCTACGCGTCTCCTGCACAGTGAACCAGCGCTGTCGTTATGCTGCAGCGCGTCTGGTGCACCTGAAGTTGGGTGAGAGCACGATTGCGAACTTGGGATTCAGCAACTGGCGGCAGACTCTTGATCTCTTTCCCCTTAGTTCCTTAAAACGTACCTCGCCCATCAAGCGTCACCCTCCATTGACGCACCCTTGGATCGTCCTTCTCCCGTGAAACCGGGTTGGTGCAAATGCGCAGCAAATGCATGCACCCCACTGCTACGCCAGGCTCGGAGTCAGACATTTTGAAGGCACGCACGGCCGCGGGCACAGAGACACGGCTGACGGAACAGAATTACAGAGGTGTCGCTGGAATGCCCTTTCATACTCAGGCACCCATCAATCATGAACCAGTCACTGTCGCATCACCACGCCCTTACCCACCCTTCCTGTGAAACCGCGCCTGTGAATTCCAGTGAAACGTCGCCTGTACATCACGTCCCGCGAAATCGGGTTGCTGCGGTTGTTCCGGGGACGTGCTCAACCCCATCCCTGCACGTCCCCTCCTCAGTGAAACGACGCGGGTGCATTACGCTTCCCAGCTTGCTAATGTACTGCCAGCTGCCGCCCGGAACGGGGGGATCAATCATTCGGGGGCCCTGCTGTGGGCCCAATTCGATTGAGCCGAGCGCTGAACATCGTCTCGCTCCCGCGGCGCCGGGCGGCATTTGGCCAACCTGCGAGGCGCCCGTGGGACACCGCACTGGGGCGGGGAGGGCGGAAGGCGACGGAGGGCGCCGCGCACTGAGCTACACGGCGCTGGGCGCCCCATGTCCAACACACAATCCCGGCTTTGAGCCCGTACATTAGCTGAAAATCGGAGCTGCGGCCCTTGGACGGAGCGGGCTGAGCGGGGAAGGCCCGTGCCTTGGCGCGGGGCATGGGCCCGGCGAGTGGCGCTGCCGGCTGGAGATGCGGCCGGAGCGGCGGCGGGTCGGCCGCCCTGGTGTTGAGGCTCCTGTACGGTGAGCATTGGGCGCAAATCGAGGGTGCATGGGGCGGGTGGATCGCCATGCATGGCGGGGGGATCGCCATGCATGGCAGGGGGATCATGCGCATGGATCCGTGGGTGCGGTTGTGGGTATCGGACGGGGTTGTGACCGGCTGGGCTTTGCCGCGCTGGCCTTGTACGGGGCGCTGCCGGTGCGCTCGGTCTGGTGCTGTTGTGGGCCGTGCCTGTGGCGCCAACGTGGGGGAAGGGGGGGGGGGGACGTGAAGCGATGTCACACAGTGGGGCAACACGGCTGCAAGCTGGTTTCCGTTGGCAGCGGTGTTGGGCGATGGGGTTTGGGCCGGTGGGCAGTTTGGCTGCTGATGCCGATGGACGTGTCTGCCCGGGGGTTCCGAAAATGGGGAAGGAGGGGATGCCCCTTGGGTTGGCTGGGTGCGGCCCGGTGGGAGCCCCTTTTTGTGTGGGCCGTCTCTATGGAGTCCGGAACTGAAATGAAAGCGCCGGGAGTGCGCGCTGGGGCACCTGCTCATTTGCTTTCATCGCGGCTGCCCCGTGCGACTGCTGCGGGGAGCGAATCGCCCTCAAGGGCAGCGGATTTGGACCTCCACGCAGATGGGAAAACGGGCCCAGGGACAGGGAACAAAAGCTTCCTGCGAGGTGCTTCCGAATTGTTTTCTAGTGGCGGGGAGAGCGTGCCCCAGCGTGTTCATGGTACGACCCAGCCTGCCAGTGGAATTACCTCGAGTACGGCAGGCTTGTGGACTGAATTCCTCCTGGGGTTGACGGAAAAACAACTTCGCTTTTTCCCCAGGTTTGGTTCTTGTACTCCAGATAGCGGGGCAGCAGGAGGGAAAGGAAAGGGGCAACGCTGAGGAATGCAGGTGCTCCGATGTCCAGCCACCGGGGACGCTGACATGCGTACAACAGGTGAGTTGCACTATGTCCCCTTGTGCTTGTGATGCTCTCGTTGTATGCGGCAAGGAAAGGCACTATTTCGCTTCCACCTTGCGTGTTTCTAGCTGCACATGTGCTTGTCCACCAATTTCGAGCTTTTCCTGGCCTATGGCCATGCGATTGGACAGGCTGTCTCACAGCTGGTCATGTTTCAGTAAGACTTGCTGCAAAGTGGGACGAATAGGTCGAGTTGATGCAAGGTGAAGCGGTTATGCAACGAAGTGGACATGCTGCATGCGTTTCAAGCTGTAGGCTGAATTGCTTCCTCATGTGATATCTTGTGCTTTTCATGCAACCATCATCGACTTTTAGATGCAAACTGATCTTCCTGAGGCACATTCACGTTCAAAATGCAGTGTTCAAGGAGCGCTCTGGTACATCTGTGCTTTTGGGCGAAATTGGCCCCCATTGGCATGGGCGATTCGTGCACTGAATGGAAACATGGACGCAAGTCTTGCGCAAGCTGGCCCGTGCTTTTAGGCCCAGCTGTCACCCAAAATCGCGAAAGTTGATATACAAGCTTCTGGCTGATGTGTTAAGTGAAGGGAAACTGTCGCACATCATCGTGCTTGTGCAAGGACCTTCCTTTGACTCGCCTCGAAATGGTCCCAACCTTGGCAACAGCACACTTGTGGCTGGGGCACATCCTTATCAATCCGCACAATGGTGGCTGTGTCCCAAGATGCGTTGCCACGCTTCACGGAGTTTTGTTCACTTTGTCGCAGAGGGACTATGGAAAATGCCGGGCCATCTGGATGATGGTCGCGCCTTTGGAAGTGGGCCTCCCCGAGGGCTACTGCCAGAGCACCTGCGGCAGATGCGAATGTGAAGGGGCACCCGTTTGGGAGGACTCCATGCCCGTTGTGGAGGGAGCTGGGGACTGCGAGTGCTCGGATGTCCCCGTGCCGGACAGCACTCTCAGCTGCGAGCAGCAGGTGCATGTCCTGTGCAGTCATGATGGTGTTATGTTTGGTTGAGAACATGTTTCACCCATGCCGTTTGATGCTCATCATCACACAAAGTGACGCTCTGACCCGCAAATGGCGTGGTTTGCACCATCGACGCCATGAAGCATGTAGCGCTGCAACACATTCGGTGGCATGGACCAGAAATGATTCACGCGGCTGGCATTACCAAATCTCGAAGTGCATCAGGGCGAATGGTAGATTGATATTGGAGCAACCTGCGATGTGGTGTCAGCATGAATTTTGACCAAACGACACTCAATGGTGCAAGCATGTTCCGGCCGTTTAGGTTTGCCTGTATAATGGCGCATGAATATCATCTTCACCGCCATGGAGGATCCTTATGAACAAGATATCGTGTGGCATGTGTAATGCAAAGTTTGGGTTCCTTCATCAGTGAGTCCACTGCTTCGCTGCTTATCTACTGCCGCCAGAAAAGTAGAGACAGGGGAACAGGGCTGTGTCGTCTACCTTTGTTTGTCATCAACCTTGTCGCGCAAAATTCTCAACTCCTTGACTTCTGTAAATTTTGGCGAAACGAACGTCTCTCAGAATTACTTTCCGCTTTTGACTCGCACTGAAGCTTTTCAATTGCCTGTCCACAATCAGAGGTGGCGCTAGGCCAAAAGGAAAGTGCGCATACTGTTTACTAAATCACAGCATTTGTTTTATTCAATTTTTTACTTGTTATTCCGTGGATATATTGTTGGTCATGTGGTCCCTGCATGAACTCCTGGCACACCTTATGAATTTATGGCCACATCATTGGTACCGTTTACCCTGTTTGGCATGCTGATGCACCATTGGAATCATTTTAGAATTAGCTCGTGAATCTTGTCAAGTAGAAAAAGTTAAAAAAAGAAAGCAAAAAGTATTTCGAACTGCACTATAGTGGTTTGAAACTGCACAATAAACGGCTGGCATATGGTCGGTGAGCGTCGGGATAGATGGAACCAGCTGCATCGTCCAGGCCGCATGTTAGGTCCTATTTTCCACTTTCCTCATTTCATCAGACTTCCACTTTTCACAAGTCGCATGTGCTGCACAGAGGGAGCTTGGCAAGTGCTTTGCGGTGTGGATGCGAAGAGTGGATGGGCTCAAATATGGCTACTGTCAGAAAACGTGCGGCCTGTGCCCCTGCGACGAATCTGGCGCCCAGTCTGAGACTTCATCCGTGCTTGCTTCCCCTGGCGTTACAATCAGCACATCACCAGCTGAGGAACCTGCAACAGAGAGCCAAACAGCCACTGGCAATGTGACGGAAGTGGATGAAGGCACCATGGCAGTCTCGGAAATAGAAGGGGGTGATTCTGCAATAGAGGGCGAGAACGCTGAGGGTTCAAAAGCTGTGGGAGAAGTGGAGGAAGGCGTGGTGAATGTCACCAGCCGAGAAAGTGGCAAAGGTGGATCGCCGACAACAGACGGGGATGCTGAAGCGGCAGAGGCCATGCCAGATGAGGACGAAGGCATGGCGAATGTCACAAGCCCAGACAGCGCAAAAGGTGGAGCGCCAACTAAGGATGAGGATGCCAAAGCAGCAGAAACAGAGGATTCAGTTGAGGTGGTGGACAATAAGAAAAAAGTAAATGCTATGGCTGGTGCGACATTGCCCACCTCAACAGACCCCGATGTAGAGAAACCCAAAGGCAAGAAGAGAAAGAATGGTGGGATGCCGCGCTTTCCAATATTCCCTGGCAAATCGGATGATGTCATTGTGCTAGACGCGGAGCCGACTGATGGCAACGCCACTGTTGCAGCTCCAGATGCAGAAGCTGATGCGGAATCTGAAACCAAGGCTGATAAGAAGAAGAAGAAGAACAACAAGGCAGTCAAGAGGAAGAAGAATCATGACCACTCCACCGGATCAGATGAGGAAGTTGCGAATACTCCCTCAACGAAGGGGGGCTCCACATCAGCATCAGTCGACAACTCTGTGCCATCTTCAAAACGGGGGAATGCCACAGCAGCAGAGACAGATACTGGCCCAGAGGATGGAATGGCAGACAGGAAGCATCGGCACAAGGCCGCTCGCAGCGCAGCATCAGCAGTGCAAACTCCAGAACCAGATGCTGCATCACAGCCAAAGGGAGGAAAGATGGACATATATCCAAGCGACATGTCCGTGGATGGTTCAGAAGTGAATGGCACTGCAATCGCATCCCCTACCCCAGAAGAATTGCAGCAGTTGGAGGACATGCTAGTGAACATTGAGAACATAACCGATGACCCAGTGGCCATCAAGGCATTGGCCAAAGGGATAGCCTCCGGCAAGGCTGCGGCAATGCGTTCACTGCTTGGGGAGTTCAGTTGGGCGGCGCTGAGCGATCAGCTTCTCTCTGGGGGCCCAAGCACTGAGGAGCACACGGGGGAGGCGTCTGCTGATGGAGGGGACGGGGCGACTTCAGCGTGGGCAACATTGCCTCAGGGGGTCTCTGAGGATGGTGTGCAAGTGGTGGCCGCAGCTGGTCCTCCTCAGTTTGGCGCGATTGCTGCTCCCAGTGATCCTGTGCCTGATCCTCCAATCGAAGACACCACAACCTGCAAAGAAATGGAAGCTCTGCTGAACAGCCCCATTGGTCAATCGCAATTCAAGTACATCAACCAGCTCCTCACGAAATCAGGCAAGTGTTTCCATTTGCTTCCAGTCAGTGCGATGATGCTGTTGGAATAGAGCATTCCAACTGGGTTCTGCTGCCATCTGGAAACAGCGGCGTGGCAATTTGGTAATGGCTGACAGTGAACCTTCCCGTGCTAAATCACCAAATGCTTGTGTGCATTCAGAGCGTTGTTAGCGCTTGATCACTATAAACGTGCAGCTTCACCTTCCTCCTGGCCAGTGGCTGGTGGAGAATGATGCAAAAGCACGGTTATGACAAGGCTGTTCGATCCAGGTTAAAGACGGCTTGAACTTCAAGCATGCGAGTTGGTCCCATTTTAGCACAGCATCGTCACAGCCAGCAACAGTGTGAGAGGGTCAGATTTTCACACCGATATCGATGCATCTTTGAGCATGTCTGCTTTGACTGCATCTCGTCTTCAGATAAACGAGCCTGCCACACCTCTGAGGCCCCCATGGTCACCATTTTCCTCTGTGGCATTTGATCTCAGATTGCACCGTAACCTTTAGAACTACCATCGAAAAGACAAAGCGGTGCCGTTGCACCTTGCAGGTGATGACGGGCTTGCACACGACCAACAATGTTTGCACGTCCCTCATCTGTCCACTGTATCCACTTGCCACCCGTGTGGTCATACATAGCTTCACGCTCAGGCTCGCACCAGGGTGGTGCGCATTGCATAACATCATTGTGGTGTCAGGGCTGCTGAACGACTTGAAGAGCCCAACGCTGAGTGTGACGCTGTTTGTCCCCCTTGACGACGCCTTTGAGTCGGACCTCCCTGAGGGCATCACCCTGGACGCCATCCTCAACGACAACTCAACCGAAATGGTTAACCTCATCCGCAAGGTGGTGCTCTACAACTGGGTGCCCGGAGTCTACAAGACCACAGACTTCCAGGAGGGGCAGGTGCTCTGCTGTGTGACGGGAATCGCTTCTACTGTGCATTCGAATATGTGCCTTCGGAAATCCAGATGCGCAAGTAAAAAATCGGCCAAAATACGCGGTTCTAACTTTAAAAAAATTGGTGTAAGACAGTGTCAAAATGGGTAAAAATCATGTACACTCGCTCAGTCGTCACTACACAGTTTGGTCCCATTTTTGACAAGTACGTGAAAAATACACAAGTTAATACGATTTTAGCGCGAGTTTCAATCATGGTATACGATTTCAAAACCGTGTATTTGGCCTGTTTTTTGCTAGTGATGTTGGATTCATATGTCTGGAATTGTTATCCATATGGGGAGGCACAGGCGCTTGGCTTCACCATGGGAATCCTTGCCATTTGTGTGTCTGAATGTGCACATTCGGGAATCCAAAAATGTGTTCGTCTGATTGGAGTTGCTGTGCATATTGATGGGAGTGCATAGTTCTTGGGTCTGGAGCAGTCCTGGTTTGACATCTGCTGAGTTTGTGCTGGGTATGCATTTCATGCTGCTGAGGGTGGCAGGCGCAGTGACGTTATTGATCAAGTGTCAGGTAATCGAAATATGGGTTTCCATTTCGGTTGGTTCGGTCGATCGATCGTTTGATTGATTTTGCTGATCGGTTGTTTGGTTCACCGTTTTGATCACAAGGTGCTGCGCACAACGTACGGCACGACGGTGCAGACCAGCGCGGAGGACACGTCGAACACGCTGCAGATGCACTTCAACAGTGGGCGAGACGCCTGGGAAGTGGTGAGCGGCGGCTGCTTAAAACCCGGGCAGGCATCCAAAAGGCATTGAAGGGTGGTGACAATACTGAAATGGTTCATTGTCATGGATCATCTTGTCGAAAACACATGGCGAACTCCAGCCCGGCGCCTCGCAGGTGGTGACGGGCGCGGCTGCACCGACCAGTGTGTGCTGGGGGCGAGGCAAACCCAGTATCTTGTAGTACTTTGATACAGCAGACCCCTGGAAATGGTGCGCGTTTTCCACAGGGATGTGATTTGTTGCAAAAGTGTCGTAACATCATTCAAAACAAAAGCACATATTGTCAATCTTCATGGATTGCAGCTGCGAGGACAGGGCGCAAACTCTGTGCAACGCACACTTTCTGCCAGCCCACCCAAGGCATCGCAGGTTCCCGTTACACAGTTTCTGCAGCGTCACCATCACTCTGCTTTCGTTCCCCGCCTCCGCAGGAGAGCGCCGGCGGAAAGTTTTCAGCACGGATCGACATTCCGGACGTCAACATGTGTTGGTCCGTCATCCACGTCGTCAACCGCATCCTGTGGCCGGAGGGCGTCCTGAAGAGCGCAGGATTCTTGCAAGGGCCGGAGGACGGTTCCACCTGCGAGACCATCGTGGACCTGCTGGAGGGGCCAGCGAGTGGCGGCCAGCTGACCTACCTCAAGACGCTCATCGATCGCGCTGGTGAGTGCCGCCAGCCGAGAGTTGACCCCATTTGGAAACATGTGTATGTTGTCCATGTTTTAGGTGTACGAACCATTGAAATACGCAATGAAATATTGAACATGTTCACTGTTTCACTGTGCGTTTCAATCAACACCATTCCATGCGCAATGATATTCAAAATACCATGTCGGCGGCTTTGAAGGGTGTGGTGATTTCAGGCACAATTTCAGACGCAGAATGTCCAGATTGCGAGCTCCAAAGCCGCAGCAATGGCATGGCGTTTTGACATGCAAGTGCCCAAACTATATCCAGTTGCAAGCCGAAAATCGCAGAGGCACCAAGCGCTTTGCTGTTTACTCATTTGCATCAGCCCACCGCCCATAGGCGCCAAAGTTGCAACGAACAGTTTGACAGCCACTGCTTTCCGCGAACCCGCCAATGACTAATCCCCCATACTAATCCCCCTTAACCGTCGAGCGAACTCGGGTTCAGTGTGCGGGATGCATCGTCGTCTCAAATGCGCAATTTCACGGGTCCTTCAAATCGTGTATCCTTTCAAGCTTTTGAATCAGCAGCGCATACCGTGGGTTTTTTAAACCCTTCCGCATAGTAACTTAACGCTTGGCCATTTTTGCGGAGAAAACAATGAAGTAAACAATGCTCTTTTAATAGAGGTTTTGCAGAGCAACGCAAAGATAATAAAAAGAACGCTCTGAGAAACAAAATGCGGAGCAAAAGCGTAACGGTAAAATTTTCCGATTTGGAGGGTGGTAAAAAAGAACTACGGTATGCTAAACGCGCAAAGCGGCGGCTGAGTTGAGCGCCTTGCCCCACAGGCCTCCTGGGTGAGCTGCGCAATCCTGATTTCAAGGCCACAATCTTCGCGCCCACGGACGAGGCCATCGACAATATGCCGGAGCCGTACTGCGTGCAGAAGCTGCTGGCGGACAATACCTCGAGGGCCATCAACGAGATTCAGAAGCTTCTCTTGTTCCACGTGGTGCCCCGGCCGCTGCTGCTGGCGGACATGGAGGACGGCCAGTCGGTGCGCCTGGGAATCACGTCATCCAGATATCCGATGCTGAGTCGTTGTCATTTGTTGGAAGCAGCATCTGAACCGTCGGCCTTGGTTTGCACAGTTATTTTTTTTATTTGTGTCAATTGTGCTTTCGGTTTGGCGGTGACCATTTGCTCGCATACCCAATGAAACGCGAGAATATCGACACCAGTGTCGATACTGCTTCTATATGTCTCGTAGATATATAGACTACTAGTATAATAGATTACTACTACTGGTAAATGAGGGTTTTTGGAAATTCCTGATGATACACATGCCACGCGGGCAGCTGCCACCAGCCGGCACGCGCACGCACGCTTAGGACTCTGTCACTGAACCATTGTTTGACGTTGCATACTTCATGCTGCAAGCGCTCGCCACTAACAGTGTGTCACAGCAGGAAAGTTGTGTACGCTCTGCTGCATTGGTTGGCGCCTTTTGATCCTGCATGTTATACGACTGGTTCACTAATTCAAGTGGGGTGTGCCTTCCGTCATCACATTATTGCAATTCGTTTCTACCGACCACTGAAGCTGCAGTGACGATCTTTCTGTTACGGACTGCATGCAGGTTGGCACATTCGCCAGCCTGGCGCCGGGTCTGGCCGCCAGCGGCGAGGCCGACATCACCTTCATGGTCCCGAAGAACAAGAAGAAGAAGACCAAAATCCTTGCGGCGCAGTCCAAGGCCAAGATCATCACGCCGGACATAAGTGAGTCGCGCGGTCTCGTGGCCGGAGCTGCAAGGAGGTGCCGAATTTCGTGCGTGGCAGTCGTTAATGACCGCCATGCAATCAATTCGACACCCATTTGCTAATGCGCAAATGAAGGTTTTGGCACCGCGATCCTCGATGGAAGGGAGGCGGTGATACCTGCTTCAAACTTGGAACCAAGCTCGTCACTTCGAACAACAGATCTCATGAATACTGTAAAATATTAAAACCTTCCGCACAGTAACGTAACGCTTGCTCTTTTGGGGGGGGAGAAAGTAATAAGAACAGCAACGCAAATCTTGGCCTTTCTGTGCGGAGCAACGCGGAAAATAGAAATAACGCTCTGAAAACCAATATGCAGAGCAAAAACCATAACGGTAAAATTTTCTGATGCGGAAGGGTGTAATATTTAAAAGTAGTGTTGGGCTGTTTGTTATTGCGTGTTGGTGCTGGGCTTGGTTGTGCCATCTTCACCGTGCAGTCTGAGCATTTTCCGTTGCCAGTGACAATCTTCCCCAAAGAACTTCTGCCTGAGCCCGGGCTCGTGCGCCAACGCTCTGTTGTGCGTGTCAAAAAGCGACAAAGCGCAGCGGATGGATGCGTCGGACATGTGCCCATTCACGGCGTGCAGGGTATATATTGGGGGGTATGTGAATCGGCATGCGCTGAAGGCAAATGGCGGTAGGACCGCTGTTATCATCAGGCAATTCCGTACACTGAGCAACGCTGTTGTCCCATTTCAGCAATCCGTGGCGATCAAAGCATGGAATCAAATGGCTAGACAAGGCCATTTTCGCGAGTAAAACCTCGGTCAAGATACACGGTTTCGAGCCATGTAAAAATCGTGTAAAACCGCGTCAAAGCGTGTAAAAATCATGTACATTCACTCAATCGTTACAACACTGTTTGTTCCCATTTTTATGTGATAAATACACGGTTTAGCACGAATTTTTACACGACTTTCAATCGTGTTGCACGGTACACGATTTGCAAAACCGTTTATTTTGGCCAGTTTTGTACTAGTGTTTCCGACAGCGTGCTGTCCCAAAGCACTGCTAGCAGCAAAAATTCAAGCCTAAACAGGTTCACACGGGTGGCTGCGCTGCAGAGGCGTGCGGTGTGGTGGTGCACTTCATAGACAGCCCCTTGATACCCACCTTCGCGGACAACATCCTCGAGTTGCTGACCTGCACTGAGGAAGAGAGGAAGGAGTTTGCGCGGACGGAGGCGGCAGCGAGCCCCGAAGACTATGAGTACGATTATGGGTGAGTATGCTAAATCGCAGGCTTGCCGAATATGTCACAGAACAGCGCCTTGAGATTGCAAGATCGGCGCAGAACACTTTGTGAAGTGATATTATACAACAAACGGTGTTAGTGCTATTACTGCTCCTCTGCAATTTGAGTGGGAATTGATGCAACGGTGTGTCTACAGTATCATCGATGCAGCTCCGAATAATGGTGCAACAAGGCCGGTGCATCAGCGTAGACGCAAAGCTGCCACACGCATCAACTCTTGTCAATGTTGGCACCGGAGCATTGAGCCGCATATCCACACGTCGATGCCATGTAACATAGATAACATGCAAGACTTCGTGACAGGGTCTGATCGTTGCGTCAAGCATGAGATGGTGCACAACTTTTCACTGGTAGAGAAATGCGATGTTTGCGATGCCATGTGCGATACCGTTTTGGCGCTGACCGGCGTTGCCACAGTGGCTGCGATGGCACAAACCTTAGCCGCAATGCCGTCAATGCTGATTTCCATTTCACTTGACGCTAGCTAGTTAGTGTCAAATGATATCGCAGTTGACATCGCGAAAGTGGTGTTTTTCCCCTTGTGTTCGCTCCCTGCTGCGAACCTCATGCCTCATTACTTGCAGGTTTTCGGACACCACGGAAGACAGGCGCACTGACAACGAGGTACGCAATCCTCCTGAGCCCGTTGTGCGCGCGGCTTCCGGTAGCACCGAAGCTCCATCCGACCCGCCCGCCGAGGTGGACGCGCCGCCACCCGAGGCCTCGTCTGAAGATCCCATCGGAGGAACGAACGCAGATGCAGTGGCCGGGGAAACGAGCTTGGTAAATTTCAACGTGGTTGGGTAGAGGCCGACTGGCGTGAGAGCCTCCGGGCGGCCTGTGCACTGCAGCGGTCAGGAGCACTGGACGTTTGGTGACTGCATTGCGTGGCCACACTGTGTATTGGTACATGATTATTGATTGGCCCCGCCAAGAGCTATCCGGGGTCCCGGGTGTGTGTTTAATTCTGCGGACTGAACTCGGCGCCATTGGCGTGGCATGATCAGAAAGAGTTGAAGTTCTCAACTTGAGAGTCGATGCACTGCATTTCTGGCGTCCTTCGTGTTGTGTGTGCAATTTTCCTGTAGTGGAAGGCGAAATCAGCGTCCAGGCTGCACAGCAGGTTGGAAGAGACGGGGTGGTGATCGGTGTGCAGTGCGGTGACAGTCCTGGCTGGGCGACCGCGTTTGGGATGGGTGGAACTGGTGGTTGATCATCAAACTTTGTTGGTCTTGTGGCGGCTGCCGAATAGATACGAGTGCATGAAGGTGGCCGCAGAGGTGCTTGTGCTTGCGCGATGCATGGGGGTTTCATGGGTATGGGCCGTAACGGGTGGGCCTTTGTACAAGGGGTAGTCCTGTGGAGACTCCGCTACTCGTGAAGGCAAAAAAGACTCGGTCACGTGAATGAGAGGTCGTGCGTGGTTGGGCGGATGGCTTGCCGACCTGCTTGTGAGAATAATTGCTGTGGAGAGAAGGATGAATCGGGCGCGATGGACCTGCGCTTGGGTTTAAGGTGTGCGCAAGGATCCTTTTGGGTTTGTCGATTGGGCGCCCGTGTTAGAAGACGCGGAACCGAGGAGCCACTCAAATAACGATTCCTGTTCTGTTGAAAGTTGACATTGGGGGGCCATGGGAGCTGAGGTGATCCGCTCAGATGGCTGTGAATACGGAAGAGTTGCATTTGACGACATGTTGCCCAGCATCATCTCTGTATGCGCCTGGCGCCCCGGCTGATCGGCCAGTGCTGTGCTTTGAGTGTAACACCCTTTCATGTGCACTGGCTGCAAACGAGGCGTCCTTCCTGCAGCAAAAGTAGGTGTTTGCGCTGTCCGTCAGAAAATCGACGGAGCTCCGTCCGTTGCTCGGGCCCACTGCTTCAAAATTGGATGCCCCTCTTCGTCTCTGTGCCCCAAATAGTTCAGCCACACTCGTAATCGCAAGGTTTTGGCTGTGCCCGCCCATCTGCGGCGTTTAATCCGCGCGCTGGGCGCTCGAGATGGAGATGCACACATCCGCTGTGGATGCTCGAACACCATGTACGCACGGCTCACCACAAATCAACCTTACAGATCCGCAGATAGTAGAGCGTTGTATGGCCCCAAAGGACCATCTCCGCACAATCTCTCACACTGTCAAGTTTCTGGCTGTCGCGGCCATTTCGTTCGGTCTGGCGTGTTAATCAATTTGCCGTGTCGCACACTGTGAAGCCTGTTTCAACTAATCCATTGGTTCAGCCCATTGGTGTTTACACCAAATCTATCATTGAATTCGTCGATTGACTCGACAGTTGTACTTTGTCTGTTCAGCGTTTGCTGTAGTCCACGACGGGACAAGGCGACAAAGCGTACTTGCTTATCCTCCCCTGCCTCCTGGATCTGATGCTGTCCTGGAGCGCGTCAAAGAATAGGAAGTAGGAAAAGCTATGTGCTGCGGGGTACAAAGCACGTGCGCTGCGGCCGAGCGCCTCTGCCGCTGCAGTTTTGTTCCCCGCATTCCCCGACAATCTTCCGCTCCCCACTCCAGAAAGCACAATGTTATAATTAGAACTGATCCAGTGTTGTTAACAGCTGGTTGCGTAAAGAGGTGATGAATCAACAGGAATTGCATCAACGATGTGTCGGAAGGCCACCGTGTGTGACTGCCCTATGGGCTGGTGAGTCACGCCTTGTCACTTGTGTTTCACAACAAGCGTCCAGTCCACAGCCCAACAGTAAAGGCTCCACCAAAAATAACACACCCCACTGAGACTCCCAACAAGAAAATGCACACAATGTGCTTCCAGTGGATGAGTATCGCAGAGGGCTGCGTCGCAGGCTGCCCAACCACAGCACCCTCCTGACGACGTCATTCCGATTCAACTTGCCACAAAGCGCAGACACGGTTCCTAAGGGATCGCAGCTCAATCCCTATGTTCTCAAGGGGTCCAGTACCACGAGGCATCCACTTTCTCAACTCAGTGTTCACGCTGGCCAGGAGCTCCTTCTCAAACCGATAGAGCTTCAGCAGGAAAGGTGCAAGAAAATCAGAGCACAGTAGGGCCAAGTTTATGGCAGCAAGCGGGCCAATAATCTGCCAGGAGTTTCAGAGCACCCACAAAATTACTCTCTCCAGCTCCAGTTCTGTAGGTGAAGACTCCCCTTGTTTACTCAAAACATCTTTCCTCAACACCAACAGGTCATCAAGATACTCCACAATCTCCAGGATGACGCAGCTGCAAAAAATCCCCCTTGGCAAATTTCGCAAAGCCTTTACTCTCTTGCCACAGTTTTTTTCCCCAGGCACAGTCACTTCAACTTCAATATCCTCCTCAGCTCTGTCTTCAGGACACCTTCTTCATAGCACTCCTGGAAGCTGCCTCTTGCTGTCCTCCTCGCTTTCTTCACTCGAAGAAAAATCACGTTCTTCGCCAGCCACAATCTCTACAAACTCCCTCCAGCTGTCTCTGATCCTCCTGACGTCTTCTTGCCCCAACGGTTGACTAGTTCGCCCTCCAGGAAAATCCTCGGGCCTCACCTTCACAGGCGCTCCAGCTTGAGTCACGGGAACTTGCTTCACAGGAGGTGTCTCGTCACCGGTTGACGTCCAGCGCCGGCCAACGTCACGACTCCTTTCGCTGCCCTCCGAAACTCTTGAAACCTCATCTAGCCTGCCGCCAGCACCTTAAAAGGCTCCACGAAGCTCTGCCACCGTTGCGCAACGGTCGTTGACCAGGAAACTGCTTCCGATCCACTCGGTATTCAAACCACAGGCAGCAAAGACGTCACCGGACAGCTGCCAGTGTTCCGCCTCGTTTCCTGGCACGTCAACCACTCCGAACCGAAGCCAACGAGCTCGACAACGTTCTAGAGACTCGAGCAAGGTGCCTGGGGCCAGTTCTGGCCCTCGTGGGTCGGTCGACGACGTTGAACATGCAGCTTGTACACGGCGCAGCCGATCGCAGCTGCTAGGCGGCAAGGCTGCAACGTTTCTCACGTCGCGAGCAGTCAGCACGATCTCGAAGCGCTTGGAGGACAGCACACACCGTCCCCACAGCTGCGCACAGCTTGGGCGGCCCTCGGGTCAACACACGGTGGCCTCGCAAGGCGCTCCTCACAGTGCAAATGTGGCCCGAAGTCTTTACACAACCAACCGTCCGTTCCTCTTTCCCTCACAGCACCGCCCCTTGTTCCGCCGATCCCAAACAACCAACTTCCGCGCTCTATAAATAGCCCAGGACATTTCCTCGTACCACCAAGGTATCAATGAATATTCCAGGCTCAACTCAGATCAATTTAAGGCTCTAAGTGTAGCGGGAAGGTAGTACAACTGTTTGACAGCGTTTTAAATCACTTGACACCGGTTTTCAACCAGTCCAAAGCCACTCACTTCCAATCCGTCGTAAGGTGACTCAATACCCATCAAATCTTATCAGAAATATATCAGCATATCACCCAAAGAATATTCCATACGACGTTCCAACGTTTCCCATAATCCGCTGAATCCGTACCTCACCCTGAGCACTACCATGAACTGATCCAATTCAACGGAATTCCAATGTTATTGAATCCGCCTGACATGTCCCTTCACATTTCTCAGTAAATTCGACCAGACACGGTCAGAAAGTATCAGAAGTATTGCTCAATTCATTATTGAGCCGCCCCTTAGACTGAATTCCATCAACACTGCAAATTACATTATGTTCCGTCATTACCCTTGACGGCATACTCCATACCCGTCCAGTACTCATCACAGGGCTGCTCAAATGCTCTCTTTTTGATCAGATTCTAATTAAGAAAATCACATGCTTTTACCCAGCGTGTACTAGCCCATGGAAACGTCACTGAATCTCCATGTTTTCCCTTTAAACTCATGTTTTTATGATGAAGCCATTACAGCTGCAAACTCCAGAAATCGGTCAAGTCAATTTACAGCCCTATGACCTTTAGGTACTGGCTGCACTCGACTTGGTTTTCACCCCAGAACTTAGTCACTCTTCCGATAGCTTGTACTGATTACTCAAGTCAAGAATCAGTACATTTTGCACCAATTAACTCTAGTTCTGGTCAATAACTTTCAACAGCTGTAAATTTCAAGGTTTTTGCAACTTTTTTCCTTAATCCCAGTACCACTTTTAGTTCCAATCTCTAGTCACTGAGTGTTCTCACTTTCTTGCTTACGACTCCTGGCCTTCTCTATCACTAAGTATGACTTGCTCATGTCTTAGAACTCTATTTTTAATTACTAAACATATCACAGCTGTGTATGCAAGATTTCCACAGCTGAATTGTCTTTCCCACTTTCTAACCTTCTGCCTACTTGTTTCTCCTCTAAATGTCGATTTCGATGACCTCCCAGTCCTCAGAAGCAGCTGCAAACTCCAGCTCATCTTCTTCCAGCTCCTCGGCAGCTTCCGGCCAGCACTCCTCTCGCCCAAGAACCACCACCTTCTCCACAGGCGCAACCCAGCTGTCCACTGGCTTGGAAACTTCAGGCTGCTATTCTCCCTCCTGCATGGCAGCTCCCTAGCCCTGTTGCCAAAACTCTTCTTGCCTTGATGCTTCACACTCCTCTAGCTGCTTTGCAGCTTCTCTTGGCTCCGTTTGACTCCTTATTATGGGCTCACAGTAGTTGGAGTCCCAAGCCATGTCCAGCAACCCGTGCCTCATGAACTCCCTCTGGTCCCATGCCTTTTCCTCCCATTTTTCAGGGTGCTCCCTGGCCAGCCATTCTTCCAAAGTATTGATTACATCATATACAATTTGTCCCCTTGAAAACGCAAATTGATACAATTCACATCTTCCAACCATTGTGCACCAAGGGCACCCCATATTGTTGTAGTAATTGTCATCCTTGGGGTGCCTCTCCCATCGGGCTCCACACCCCAATTGTTGCGGCCCGCGGGCGGCCGCTGGTTTCCAGAGTTCTGGGGGCGGTCGCCGCACCCGATGGCGCGGCCTCGATGCTGCGCCTCTCCGCCGGATTCCGGCGGGCGTTGTCGGGGTGCTCGGTTGTTCGGTAGCGCGGTGGGCCCTTTGGACGCTCGGGGACCTTCCCCGAAGCCTGCCGTGTGCAGGCGGTGGATTCGCGGCGGCGTTCGGCTGTTCACTGCCTCGCGGCGGGGCAGAGAGTGGGGCCCGAATGGCAATTACAGTCTGACGCACGCGATGCGCGCATGTACCTGCGCGATGCCCGGTCGTGGGTCCATCGCGTCACATCAGACATGACAGCTCAATGTAATGTACGGACCATGTCCCAGCGCCCCCGGTCACCTATAATCAACCTAATCTAGCTCTAATTCCAACCATCCCCACCCAGCACCCGGCCTCTAAGTACTGCGTCTTCAAGAGGCCATATCTTCCTCAATACTCCATAGAACTGAGTGCTGAAAGAAGCATTGGAACCAAGAAATCATAATTAAACCATAGAGAGGGATGACTCAGCGAGATTGCATAATGCAGCTGCAGAAAACATCATTTACTGCCTGCCCCCAAGTAGCTCCACAACACCAAAGCAACCTCTTTGTGGGCCTCCTTGGGGCTCACCCCCTCACCCACCAGGAGGTCCAACTTCCTGCGGTACCATCACTTTGCTTTGTCCGTCATCTGACACTTCTCCACCCACCAAGCTGCCTTCTCCGCGTCATGTTCCTCATGCACCGTTAGATTGTGCTCATACCAACTCCCTTTGTGGTTCCCAGCGAGCGAAAAGGTACCCCAGAACCGAAGCCAAGCCTTCGAACCCGACGCGGCCAGCAGCTCCCAACCGTTTGCCGACCAAAGGAACAAGGACATAGGCACCCCGCCACAGCCTTCAGTCAATGGCAAAGGGGCGCCGTCGAGGCGCCAAGCAAATGGGCAGGGCGGAGCATCAAACGAGTTCACCTCCGCATCCACCCATGCCACTTGCCAGTGGGCATTCCACAGGCCAGCGTTGGCTTGCAAAGCGTGGCACACACTCCGCCGAAGCTCAAAGGCCCAGCGAGGCGTTGGGACCGCCGCTACCGCAAATGCCTCGATCGAGAGGCGCAACGGCAACAGCGTCTACGCCATTCTCCAGTTCCATGAAGACTTGAAAGCCAGCCATATCCAATGGTCGGGCAGGCCGACGTCCGAGGCGTCAACCCACTCGAGCGGCATGCCGACCGCCCCCTTGATTGCTCCCCACAATTCTCTTTGCTCTGCAACCGAACGCCCATTGCGCCTAGGCGACCATATCGCTGGCAAGGCCGCAGGATCTCCATCGCCACTCGCGACCAGGTCCAATGGCACAAAGTCGTGGCCCTGGTCTATGCCTCCCGTTCGAGTCGACCGCGACGTGGGGAGCAGCCCGAGGGATGGAGTTCTGCCTGTTCGCGCACTCTCACAGCGGGTAGGCAACTCGCTGCACGTCGCGTATACTTGCAGCACGTGGTCGGGCCCCAAAGGGCCAGTTTTGGGATGCTCCGTACGATATGGCGTCCTGTCAAGCCAATGACAGATGTGTCGCACTACAACGCACGTGCGCCGTGTACGGCATGTGTCAACATGCCTGCCAATAGTTTTTATATGCTCCCCAAATGTGTCACATTCCACCAATACGACCAACTGGCCTTTCAACGATTGAAAACATACTCCAAATCCCCCTAAACTAGTCCTGTCCAAAGTGGCTGCAAATAGGAGCCCAATGACCGTCATATATACTCCAGCTCTGCGTCCAATCGGGCACTACGACTGTCAACCAGCTGCGGCTCAAGAAAATGGTTCAATTCTCCAATGTTCCTCAAAAAGCCTACAATATTAATTAGCCCGTCAACCAATTCCTAGACGGACAACAAATTCTCTTAAGTATTGCATCAAACTCCTCAAGTTTCAATGATGGCCTGCCTCTCCAATCTCAAGGCAATACCATTGGACGACCCTCAGCGGCCCAGGGACCATCTTTAGAGAATCAAAATATCCCCATACGCTGGAATTAACGTCCTAAACTATTGTGCAACTATGTACTGTACTAGGATATATTCCTAACGCCATTCTATCCACCCGAAATGCTGTCAGTTACAACGCATGAAGTATTACAACTTGAACCGGTGAAAAATGGCTGCCATGCTGTGTCCAAACTCAGTCAACCTCCTTCCAATTCTTTCCAGAAACAAGTTGTCCGTATTAGTCAATGTTATGGCAGCTATTTCCGCTTCTACTTTCACAGATTCTAATTCAAATTGACTCCCAGACTGCTGCCTAATCCTGCCAACAGAAATGCTGCATTTTCTCGAAATTTGGGCAGCATCTCCCCCCTTTTTGCTTACTTTTCATACTCCAGTATCACTTATAGTGTTCTAGTCTATCTTGTATCCATACCGGCTGCACTCTAGGAGAATTTCTGCAGCGTTTCCCCCAGGTTTTTGTCTTTTCATCACCAGGCCTGTCCCACATATCTATAACGCTGCTTCAAAACTACTTTTACATGAACCTTTAGGCTGAAAAATTACCTCCTTAAGATTCGAGCAGCATTTCTGTGTGGCCTTTGAGTGTTTTTCACTATCCTCAGTTTCACACTTGCCCTTTCGATGCCCCAAAACGGGCTGGCCATGCTTGCTTACTACTAACCAATATTGCGCGTGTACTTCAGCGTGCTTTTCGCTTTTTTGCATCGCTGGGCGGCTGTCCATGTCAAGCTGACTGGTCTACGGTGTAATGACACCCAGTCAGTCGCCTTTTGTTGGTCATGAGCCTGTCATTGGGTGACGTGGCCCAATGACTAACGGCGAATTTAACAGATATTGATGAACGGACTGGATATGAGGGACAGAACTCCTGTTGTCCCCTTGTTCAACTGTAAACCGTTGCCGTGGACTCGAGCCTGCGGTCATCATTGAGGGTTGGCCACCCCTCGACCGTGCCTGCCTTCGCCACGGCAAACCCCACATCAATTTGTTCCACGAATTGCCCGATAATCGGCATCATCTTCGGCAGCGAACTCCACTGAAAACACCACAGCGCTCACCTTCCCCACCCAACTCACCCAAGGTGCCCAGTCCCCCGCACGCAGCGGCAGTCCCGACCCCCCACCGCCCGCCCCACCCCCAGCCCCCCCGCCCAGATCCTCCAAAATGCCCAAGCCTAAGGTCAGGGAGGAGAAGGAGAATGTGACCCTGTCGCTGGGGCCCAAGGTGGCCGAGGGCGAGATCGTGTTCGGCGTGGCCCACATCTTCGCCAGCTACAACGACACCTTCGTGCACGTGACCGACCTGTCGGGAAAGGAGACCATCTGCCGGGTGACGGGCGGCATGAAGGTCAAGGCCGACAGGGACGAATCGTCCCCCTACGCCGCCATGCTGGCGGCGCAGGACGTGGCGGCTAGATGCAAGGTGGGGTGCGGTGGCAAGAGAGGAAGGGCGGGGATGGCCAGGAGGGGATAGGGTTGAGGGAGTTGGCAATTCGGAGCCGATTATAAAAGCGGTGGACGGGCTGAAAATGGCTTGGCGGTGATGGACCCAGAGGGGCGATGATCAGGCCGTGGTGTGGATGGATTGTGGTCCATCACATGGCGCCCCTGGCAATAAAGGGACACTATGGTTTGGGGTGCCCGCCGTTGGGGGATAAGAAAGATGAGGCAGGGGCGTGCGTGTGGAGATGGAACCTGGACCTTGTCGCCATGGTGCCATCAAGTCGGGCCTGATTGCAATCCCCCCTCCCGAACCAGGCAACCATTTCAAATTTCACGTCTTCCGTTCCGCTCTTGTGGGAATCGCTACCCGGGCTCCACTTCCGGGGTGGGGCTGGCAGCATGGCGCCCGCGATGGCTTCTTGGGCCCTGGGGCCTGCCACCACCTTCATGTGCAATTACAATCCTGGGGCGCCCACCGGCATCTAGTTTGGGCCGTGTGCTGGCTCCAGAGGGCAGCCGCCACGCGGCTCAATCCCAACTTTGCGGAGGCGATGAGGTTAGCGGGGATAAATCTTTGCTGGTGGCATTTGTCCAAGTATGGCAAGGAAGCAGCTGCCTTTGCCTATCTGGCGATGTCTGGTTGGGCCATAAAGGGCCCTTGTACAGCGTCTTCTCCAAATTGAAGTTGAAAAGGACCGAGTATGTTGTTGTTTGTAGGTGGTGATGGGCGTAGGAGCACTGATCTGTCAATTTTCAGTGCATGTGTGCCATGTGAATTTGTGCAGATATTACATGCAAGGATATCATACTCAGGGCACCCCTCTGATCAATGGACACGTGGCTCTTTTGCATGCTGTGAAAGGTGATTTAGAAGCTGGCAGAGAAAGGCAGAATGGCACACAGCAACGAGGCTGTGAGGCTGTGTGCGCTGCAAGCCAGAACTGAATGCTGTGCACAGAATGCACATGGACGAATTTTGATCAGTGCCAGAGGGAAGCATGTGCGCAGATCTGCGGATCCCATCTGCAGGTTGCAGACACTCTCATCCGTGGATAGTTGCATGGTCATCATGTTGGTAGCAGGTTGAAATGTGCATGAGTGTGGACATGAAGTCAAAATTGTGTGTGGCTGTGTCCAGGAGCTGAACATCAATGCTCTCCACATCAAGTTGCGAGCAACAGGTGGCAACAAGACCAAGAACCCTGGTCCTGGTGCTCAGTCAGCATTGAGGGCGCTGGCACGTTCGGGGATGAAGATTGGGCGGATAGGTAAGACCATTGATTGCAATTTGGTGTTTGGCACATTCGATTGCTATGTTGGTTTTCCTGGTAACTGTTTGTTCTGCTATTACAGCAAATTTTGCTGCGAAGCATCAATCGTTGCCGGCACCTAAAAATCGTGCAAGCTCCCTCCATATCTATTGTCCGAGGCGGCTGGACTGTCCCTGGTGGATTGCCACACTCATTTGTGTTGGGTGCCTGGCCTGGGTGCAGCTGTTGTGGGATCTTCATTGATCCTTATTACCAATGCATAAAGCACTACTACCGTAAAGCACTACTCACCTGGAAGTCAGATTAGGGCAAATTGGGTCATTTGTGGCTCTTCTGCCGGCAGTGTGTTTCTCTGCAGACTATATTAGTTCAGGTACTCTGGCAGGTGCTGCATGTTTGTCTTGAACTCCACAGCAACGCAATATACACACGCATGCTCTGTTGCTTCTATGACCTGTTGTTACTTCATCTTAATAGGACTTCTTCGCCCATGGACAGCCATCAACAATTGGGATGTATGCGGCGATTGCTTGAAAGCCCCAAACAAGTATTGATCATGCCATGTGATATGTGAGAGAGCCTGTCATGAGCCTCTCATTCTGTATGATGCTGTAATAGTGCAGTGTAGGTGCTGAACTGTGGTCTCGTAGTGGTTTGGGTAAGGGCACAGGGGTACACTAACATCCAAAGAAACTCTGCTGAAGGCAAGTAGACTGCAGCACTGAACTTCACTCCATCATGACCATCCCCTCTTATGTATGGCTGCTGTGTTGCAGAGGATGTGACGCCCATCCCAACCGACAGCACCCGCCGAAAGGGTGGCCGCCGCGGACGCAGATTGTAATGGAATGGTGATGACCGATCGTTGACTGATGCTGGGTAGCCGCTGGCATCGATTGCAAGCTGCAATGAGGAGAGAACATGCTGTGGGTGCACTTGTCTTGGTGTGGAATCAGTGAGCGGGGCTTCCAACGTGCTCCTGGACCGGAGGAGCAGACAGCGGGTTCTTCTGTTTCATACCAAACTTGTAAACAGAGAATTTGCTTGAGCGAATGCCCTGTGCAACACTGTGCACTGGGGACGTGGAATAGCCTCCCTCTCGGACGAAAACGGGGGGGAGCTGAGCATTTGTGGAGGTGTATAATGCAATCCAGCAGTGTGCCCAATTTGATGTTGCTGCTCACAGCGCGAACGTTTGATGAAGATAACGAGCCGACATGGTGTATGGCGACCGAACCTTTGGGGAATTGGTGAAGTGCAGCAGGGACAAAAATGAGTGCGGTTCTGCAGTGATGCTGTCTTTGTAGGGTCTGTGCAGATGAAGCATCGAGACTCTTTGTGCCTGTTTGAGCTCCGCAGCGCAGTTCAGCATGCTTGCCTAATGCGCAGCTCACACCCAGATTCTCTTAATTACGTTGGGATCAGGAAACGGGACAGGGGCTTGGCGCTTGATGGTGATCTAGGGCGTGCACGGAATCGAAGCACTTGTTCCTTGTTCATAATTCACAAGCAATCCAGTCGCCCGCACAGTGTACTACGACGGCCCGATTGCGTACAAGGTTGCGCCGCACTGGCTGATGCCATGCTGCTCATTTACGCACTTCGTGCATTGTCATTGTCTGATCACCCTGACAATTCACAATTCAGGCGACTCCCGTGGACGTCGTACCTGTGGAGAAGATGGGCACCCATGAATTGAATACACTTACCCAAGGGAACTCTGTATGTGGCGCTCGTCTCACTGTCACAGATGATTCGCAAATCACTTTATCGAGACAGCACCGCAGCAGACGAGATTGCCGCAAAGTTTCTGGTTCAGTGTTGTTGAGGGACCTCCCAACCTGTTGGTTGGCGTGAGCAGAGGTGGTGCAGAATTGATGTGGCGGAAGTTACAACATTGTGGCATTATTACAGTGTGGCATTGTGGCATTGTTACACATTGTGGCATTGTGACATTACATTATTGTGGCATGATGCGGTGTCCTGTGGTTCGTTGAATGTGCTGTCGCTTTGTGCTGAAGGCGCCGATCGTCGATGGCGAACAGTGGGTTCAGTGGCGACTGCTTGTGAAAATTGCACCAAATTGCAGTTGAAATTGAACTTCAAGATGAAGTTGGTTTGTAACGTTGTTTACTCTGCTAGCACATGATTCCCGGTGGCACAACATAATACAGTCACGGAATGAACTTTCTTGAATTTGGCCAATGTTCTGCGATGACACATCCCGCCTTGCCAATTGCAATTGCCAATGGTGCCTTGCAGAATTTTTGGCAAAATTTTTTGGGGAATGCAGCATCATTGTGCTTGTACTTTGCAACATACCCTTCATTTCCTCAGTTGTGTCGTCGTCCGACTGATGCAAGGTCTCGAATTACCTCTGAGTTGGATTCTAGCTGTTGGCCATTCTAAGCGTTAGAACATATGCTGGTAGGCTCACACCGATTTTACATCGTGCATACTTCCATCAACATTGGTCATGAAACGCAGACATCGAGTTATTCCTCGTTTGACTGTAGCACTACTACCGTAGTACTACCGTAGTATATTCGGTTGGTGATTGATGTGACCTTCGTTTTTCCACCCGATTCCATGCGCGATGTCCCTGAGTTCGATGCTCGCGTTCGTCTCTATTCATGCCGCAACAACATGTGATGTTTCCATAGGCGGCGTTCGTGCCGCTCACCCAAATGGAGTATTTCATGGCTGCCGGTCTGGCCACTCACAAAATCGTCCGTCAGGGTTTGGGAACGGCATGCAGAGGGTCGCCATCTCGTGGGGTAGGCCATTAGAGCTTGTTGACGACCATTGTCCTGTTGTGAAGACCATTGATATCCGTATAGCTGCTGTCCTTTACTGATGTTGACAAGGAGCCCTAGACTTGGATTCTGACAACTGTTTAAACGCCTGGGACCTTTTGGGTGCCCGTGAATTTCCATCTGTGAAAACCGCTGGATGAGAGCTGGGTGAGACGACGGAATGTTCGCAGATTGCAAGCTTTCAGATCATCTCAGGAAAATCAATGGATCATCTTCGAGATCCTGCTCACTGCCTTGCCCATTCATAGAGGCAGGGGATGCAGCGGAGAATGTGAGTTACTCTTAGCACAGTAAGCTCCTTGATGAAAAAGTGTGGGCTACACTTTCATCAAAGAGGCCAAGTCTCTTTTCGTGCCTTAATGTCGGGGCTTAGGGTACACTGATTACGAAAAACAGCTCACGTCATCCAGCAAAAGGACTCCACCTTCGGCACGCAGAAATTTAGAACAAGTACTTGGATCCGTTGCATGATTTTCGTGAGCCGCAGCATGACTGAGCCCAGCCACGAACCGTGTGCTGGATTTCCTGACGATGAGACCCGTGCCACGCCCCCACAAAACCTCCCGCAACCGGCAGAGGCCCACCGTTGAGCGCGGCTTGGCCACCGGAGACCCATCGACCCCCCTCTCCCCCTTGCACGGCCTCCCGCTCGCCTCCGACGGCATCCCCTACCCCCGCCCGCCAATCCGCGGCCACGGCTGTGACGGGATCTGCGGCCCATCGCTGACATCGCCGTGGGGCGCCGCGCGTCCGCGGGTTGCAAAATGTCCAACGATGAGGACCCGCTCGCGGCCCTCACGACGCCGGTGTCCTTCCAGCGCTTCCTGGAGCTGATGAAGAACGACTCCGCGAGGGACCTCGTCCGGAAAATCAATCGGTGGGGGGATTGCCCGGCTGCCGATTGGGCGCATCTGGCCGGGCGCAGCCACGGGGAGCCTGGGCAGCGGGGCTGCCGGCCGCGTCGCCGGTTGATCGGAAAATTGCCACGGGGTGGATATTGGGGAATGCGGCGGGCGGCTCGCGCTGGTTATTGTCCCAAAGATGCGATTTGTGGGAAACTGGGAGTCGACAGCGATCAGTGTGGCAGGGAATGTGAATGGGATTGTGGTCTTGGGGCGCAATGGGGCCTGGCTGCACTCTCACTCGCCGCTGGCGTGGCCCAGGTTCCTTCAAGAGCTCAACGAAGCCAGGCAGGACCCTCACAGAGACAGTGCAGCTTTTCAGGTGGGTCATGAACGTTGGGAAGGGGGCAATGGGAACCACCGACGCAGCTTGTTGACCGCCTCATTGAAGGGCGTGCCAACTCACAGCGGCGACAATTGTCTGGCGCGTTGCGGAACCGTGTTGCAGCACTTTTCCGTTTCATCTGCCCATTTTAGGGCTCAGAATCCACTGCGCAACGATCTGCAGTGGCCCTGCAGAGTGTGGGCACCCCGGGGGGCACAAGTATGCTGTTGGAAGTTGAGAGGAAACCACACAACGGTTGGATCTCTTTGTGGCTGTCATCGGCTGTTACATGCAGGGGCTTAGTTGATCAATGACTTGTAACTGGTGCGTTCCAGTGATTCCAGTGGCAGTATCTTGGCAGTGCAAAAGTAGCTGTCATCAGTTTGTCAAATGCAGTCAAGCAAAATTGTGCAACTAGCTACTGCAGGTGGATGGGCAGGGAGGGAAGGTTCACAAGCATAATCCTTAGTTTGCAGCTTCTTCTGATGCTTTCATGAGTGAATGCAGCGTTGATTGAAAAAGCTCACCCAGCACAAGGTGTAGTGTTGTATCACAAATGGGTACTGCCACTCTTGCATTTCCGGATGGCAAGGAGTGGAAATCATGGGGCTTTGTTGCTGACACCTTGGAATGCACCTTTGGCATAGAAATTCCTGTCGCAGATGGAGGCAGACTTTCGAAAGCATCGTCTGTGGCGGAACCAACCACGGGAAGAACTGGACACAGCTATGGAGGTGAGTCATGGCGGTTGTAATACATGGAGGTCCAACACCAAGGGCACTGTGTCCTTGTGGTGGCATTGTCAAGCCCATACACAATGCGCAGAATGAGGGTCCATGGAATGCATCGTGTGTGCAACTGTCAGCAAACACAGCATGCGATGCACTTGCTTACACTGGCATGCACACAACGCATGTACACCCATATTTTTGGTCGAGGACACTGCTGAGAAGGGCCTGGCCACTATCTTGTCCCAGACAGTGCACCAAACACAAGCATCATCTTGCAATTCACAGGCCATTATTAAGCGAAGTCTGTTGCCCTGCAGCTTCTTCGAAACAAGTTCATGCTTTGCAGTGCGGGTCGAAATAGTTGCTGCTTGGCTCATCTGTCACGTGGACAGACAGTGCATGAGCTGTATTTCAGACAATGGAAATCTACACCGCTGAACCCCTGAATCCTCCATTTTATCGCAGTGAGCGCCTGTGGATGAAAAGCCATCTTGCTTCAACTTGCATGCCCATGCCGCAATTGATGAGCTGAGAGCATGATTGTTGGTGTGTGGTATTGTCCCGAAAGTGCAATTCTGTCATCTGAGTAGCACCAGCTTAAAACATCATTAATGGTTGGGGGAGAACCAATCCTCAACTAGCCAATGCACTATCAGTGCTTACTTCCAAACTTCCTTTTCTTCCGATTCCTGTCTGCTCAGTGCTGTTGTGCACGTTTCCACCATCGCCATGATCGTTTTGTATTACACATGCCCATGTCGTAAGCACTGTCGGACCTGTCGTGCCCTTGCTGATTCGAACATCGTGTAACTGCGACTTGCACAGTTGTGACAACCTGCCAGGAGATGTAGCACTTGTGCTAAGGTGGCGTTTCCTGTGGAGGGAGCATTCTTTCATCACAAATGTACAAATTTGCATGCGACATTGTGATGGGAAACAACTGTTGCTGGCATCAGGGCTTGGAGAAGTACCTCCTCACCAAGCTGCACAGCCGAACATTTGCCAGATATCCAGAGGACACAGAACGAGACCACCTACTGTCCACGCGACTGGTCGCCCTGCATTTTGTTCGTCCACATCACCTAGACATACCGGACAACGTCATCACGAATGAAACTCTGCTGTTGGCTGTGAAGGAGCTGCAGAAGATGAATGTGTACAAGGTGGGGAATGCCAATAGATCAGCTGGCCAGCAAGTCAAATCAGTCAAGAGAAAATCCAGCACATGGAGGACTGTGACCAACATGGTCAAGTTTCTTGTCACTGGTGCTGATGATGTCATTATGGGCTGGACAACATTTGCCAGTTAAGAGCGATGCATGTGCCAACATTGCCGAAAGCCCTTTTCGGAATGAAAGTAGTTTGTGTGCAAATCTGCAATGCACATTCATACTATCAACATGCATGTGGGCCCATGAATGCACGAAGGGCAATATACACATGCTCCCTGCTTGGCCCCAAACAGCCAATAGGCCCCATACCAGCAACACACAAGTTGCAAATAATTGCATTGCCACACGAGGTGGTAAGGACACTTGTCCACTGTCTTGTGTGTGCGGATCTCCAAATGCAGCAGGGCTCAAGCAATGAAACGCGGCACACCGAACCTTCTCGTTGCAGAATTTGCTGCCTGCAATTTGCATTTGGGATGCGTCCTCTGAATAAATTTGGTTTGCTGGTGGTATTTGTGATGCACGCCAGGGTTCTGCACATGGCTGAAGAGGTTCCGGAGGCTATGTGCAGTGTGGCAGCAAACTAAATGGATGCAAGAGTTGGCTGTCACATTATGTTGGAACAAGGGCAGTGTCTTGTTGTTGGCATGCGATTGAGGTTGTGCTTTTCTTCTAATCCGAGCCTCTTACTTAATTTGTGTGCCTCAAGTCCAGACTGCCAAAAGTAAAGAGGCTGCAGCTTCAGAAAGAACACTACAGCATTTTTGCAAAGTCCGTGTAACTGGGACAGTTGTCTTTCTGGTTAGTTTTCTCCTTGATGTATTGTGTGACAGTACCACTGTACAGAAACATCTTGCTGGCTGATCTGTGTTGTTCGGTGATGCTCACTGTTGGATGGATTCATATCAATCGAGGGCAAAACAAAGTAAAGTTCCAACATCTAGATGGCATAAATGAGCAACACAGTCAATTGTTTCAGCACAAGTCACGAGATGCGCCTGTTCCTGTGGCATGTGATGGGGCAGTAGCGTTGCAGAGGTCAGTGGAAGCATGTTAACTTGTTGTTGCTGGGCAAAGCGCGTGGATGCTGAACAGGAGTTGAGGATACATCTGCCCCTGCTGGTCAATCTTTGCAGGTGGTACTCCTGTGGCAGCAGATGGGAATGAAAAGGATGACAGGGCCGTTGCATGGGTTTGTGATAATGCGAAGCTCAACAATTCTGTGTTGTGTGCGCAGGCTCCCCGGGACAAGCTTGTGTGCATCCTCAACTGCTGCCGAGTAATTCAGAACCTGCTGAAAACAGCTGGAAAAGCGGCTGGAGGTGCGATGCATGACAACAACTTAGCATTGATACATTGTACTGGCTGAGACCTGTACGCTGGTCGAATTGCACTGAATATTGATAACCTCTACTGAGATTTGTGCAAGCTCTTTGCTCGGGGCTGTAGACCAGTCAGCTGCACAGCGGCTTGCCTGAAGTAGTTACAAGGTCTGTGTTTGTTGCATTCGTCACAAGCACAGCCCACAGAAGTGATTACTAAGGGCTGCTGATGTGGTTTCTTCTGCATTGGGCCATGTTGTGCCATTGGACCTATCCTGTACATGCCATCTCAAATGTCAACATGCCCTTATTTGCTGCTGTTCATTAACATTGTTCATTATCTGCAAGGCATGACTCTGCCCAGTTGCGAGGACATGCAGGGAGGGTGGAACATTGTGTTGTGCTGCATTTTTCCATTGAGGCTGGGTTCATTCTTGCCTCAGGTGCCGACATCTTTGTCCCAGTGCTTAACTACGTGGTGATCCGTGCGGCGCCCGAGCACATGATCTCAAATGTGGAGTACATCAGGAGGTTCAGAATGAAGAGCAGGCTGAGCTCTCACACAGAGTACTACTTCATGCAGCTGGTAGGCCCATGCTGCAAGAGTGCATGCACCCTTCACAAACATGCCAACATGCAAACATCTGTAAACAATATGGTGTGTAGGCCTGTCCGGCTGCCTAACCCTCATCAGCCTCAGCTCCCTCACGATCACAAACCTGTGCATCTCTTGCCACGGAGACCTGACGGACCCATCTCAATGCTGATTGCCCATGAGGTGGTGCTCAGGGTTCTTCTCTGAGGCCTGCTACCCTCACCTGGCTGAACAGTTGCCTGAGTGTGGGGTATACCAACCCCACACTGGATGTCAGAAATCTGTGTTATTGTACTTATGGACTATTGTACTTGTCAGAATTATGACTGTCTGGGATGCACATACGTGGGATGCCGATCTTGACTTGTTAACTACTCTTCACTGGTTTATGGTGTCATCATTGATCGTGTCGTTCAGATCTTGAGCTGGAGCCGCACAGTGGCATCAAGAAGATGGAAGCATCATAGCTGATGGAATAGCAGGGTGCTGTATTGTTGTGCGTTGTGAGCTTTCGACACATTGCCTGAGGCATTGAACATTTGGGATGTCTGCGCACAGAGTGGGGCTGCCTACTTCACAGAGACAGCTGATGCTGGATCCTTCACCGATGGCCGACAGGAGTTTCTCAGCAGCTTCCTGCAGCATGGCCTGTTGACTTGGCCTCAGTATGAGGAGGCGATCACCCAAGGGGGTCCTCCAAAGAGCAGGGCACCCCCCATGCCCACCATCGCAGGCACCAATCCTGCAGTTTGCCAATCCTTGATGGATACTGCGATCACGGTGAGTGACAGCAATCCTGCCCATTTCAATCCCAGCCACATGTCCAGCTGGCAGTATTATAAATAGCATGTAATACACTGAATATTGTGATGTATTTCTTGGGGTAAAGTACTCAGAAGTAAACAAGAGTGATGATCAATGAGCTGACTTGAATGGGCTCAAATACGTGGATTGCAGCAGCTTGACAATCGCGTTCAGGCTGTTCTGTGTCCTAAGTTGCAGACTCTTTGTCCCTGTCACATGCCTCACTTTGGTGATCGACTGGCCATATCTACTCAAGAGATTGGTTCAGTAGTTTTACTTCATTTACTAGAAGTATTAGAAACAGGACAAGAATTCTGCACGAATTTGGGCGGTGACCAGCATATCACACAAGTTGATTTTGCAGACGATCTTAGCAGTGCAGCTTTCCACGATAGGCATTTTAACCACCTGTTTGAATGGTAGGCAGGTGCGCCTGCAGGTCAGCAAGCAGGAGCCTTGGACCGCTCAACAGGGGGTGGTAGCCAGGTGGCGCCTGCCGATCTGGAGAGCTGGAATTCTGTGTTGACTAGGTGGGTTAAGTGTGCTCTGTGGTGGTGGCGGAACATCAGCGAATTGCTGTGTTCACTTCCGAAGCAAAGACTTGCAGCTATTGACAGCACCCAACACCGCCAGAATCGTATTATGCATATCATAATCGAAATGACATGTTGTGCAGAGACTCTGTGTTTTCTTGGCGCCAAAAAGGTTTGGTATATTGTAGACGTCAGTGGCAGCCAAGTTAAATAGTATTTGGCAAGGCATTTGGTTAGGTTACGAGATAGTTAAGGGAGGCACAAGGACAGTGACGTGTTGTGGACAAAATGTTCAAGTACAGTTACCAGACCGTGGGCTACGCCATCGAAGATTATATGCATAGTGTCGAGGTGGTGTTACTGCTCTGGCAGTGACAAACCGATGCCTTTCAGAAAGCTCTTGTTTGCGTATTTGCAAGAAGACATCAGCTGAAATGATAGTGCACAAATCGGCATTTGGGGTTGATAATGTGTGGGATGGGTTAGTGCATTATCTTCAATGTCACTCTGAATGATTCATAGCTTTCCCTGCCAAGACATGCGCCCTTCTCAGGCTTGGTGGTACTCTACCAAGGCCAAAGTTCAAGCATCCAAGACATCCAAGACATCCAAGCATAGCCCCATCTACACTTTCAAGCCCAACAGCTAGAACCCATGCCAAGAATACCTCTGCACAGGCTCTTTGTTTTTTCCCCCTGATTGTCCAACATGGTCACTCCCTGATTGAGCATTTCCCCAGCGTGCAATTTGATCCAGCGCAGCTCAAGTGCAGTGCAGGGGCGATGGGTGCCAATACAGGAAATGTTCACAGGTGTTGAGTTGTGTGCCCAGCATAAACTCCTTGAGCGATTTGGAAGGTGAAGGCACCCAGCTGCTGGTGGAAGTGGGCTGTGCGAGCAAACTCGCGGCAAAGCACAAGTTCCTGGCCATTGCCCCGCCTGATCTCATGGTCGGCCATGTGGAGCCACTGCTTTCCGAGTACAAGGCACTGGTGCTGACATACGAGGTGCTGAAGGAGGGTATCCGCAACAAAGATGCAGCTGCTGTTTCGAGGTGGGTCTGACAAGGGCTGGGGTGTCCAGACCATGCATGGCGTTGCTCTGTTCGATGCGCTGCTGGCGCGAGCATGGGACACCTGCTTGCTCGTGTCTGTGTAACGCAGAATATGAAGAATATGGGTTGACAGCCTGAGGTACCGGATTCAACCTCCCCAGTCCTCTTTGAAAGCTGCTTTGAGTACATTTTTTGATGCACGCCAAAACTCTGCTCTTGGACTTGCTGGCCAGTGACACCGTGCATGAGTGCTTGTTCACAGCTTTTGAGCACCTCCTGCATGCGCCACAGCAGCAGGTCAGAATGGGAGGGATGCAAACCGAACCCATGTGGACAAGACTAAAACCCCGCAAGTAGGGAATCGCACACAAATGTCGAACCAATTGTCGACCAGCATCGCATTTGTTGAGCGCATGGCCCTTGGCAGGGACTCCAATTGATGTGCGCGATCGCATTATGCACCATCAGTCCGCAGCTCCATGAGTTGCAAGGATGCAAGCACTGGAATGGGAGGCTGTAGTGACCCAGATCAGGTCACGGGTGCTCTGATACTGCAGCCCATCAGTTCCATGTCTAGGACAACTTCCAAGGCAAACACACTTGTATATGTGGGCGCATAGGGCTCTGCGATGGGTCAATGAGAGCCTGGGCTTTGGCCTGTAGGAGTAATGCTCTTACAAGACAGTACCAGATGTGCATAAAGCCTTGATAAATTATCTGTTGTGTCACAGTCTGGCCTGGTATCTCGATTCAAACCATTGTAGCATCCTTTCACCCCCCAAAGAGCGGCATGTGAAGCTCTTCTCACTTTGAATGGTGTGTGGAACTTTGATCTGGAGACATTGACCTTGTACTGAATGTAGTCAGCGGCATTGCCTTTGTTGGCATACGTTTCTGGAAGTTGCTGTCCAAAGAATCACCAAAACTGTTCACCCTCACAGGGTCATCACTGAGTCACTTGAAGGCCACAAGTGGAAATCTGTGTGGCCGTCATATGGACACCTCGTGGAGAGGCACCCCTACCTGTGCGTGGGCGTGTACGACCTGACCGTTCCCAACGTGACGGACCTTCTGAACGAGTACAAGGAGCTGGTCCTAAAGTACGAGGTTCTGGAGCTGGCGCTGTGCAGGAGGGAGGAGCAGTACTGGGACAGTCTGGCCGATAAAGACCTCGCAAGCATATGCTCGGAGGCGCGGTCAGAGAACCCGAAAATGGACCGCTTGGATTCCATTGCCTCTGAGCCCACGGACCTGGCGGAGCAGCTCAACCAGCTGAGAGCAGAGGTCAGCCTGCCTGCCACATCGAACGGCGATGGGAACGAGACAGTGGCTGGAGGGAAAAGGTCTAGGGGGCAGGGGGAGATGGAAACGGGGCAGAGCCAAGTGGGGAGGCAGGCCATCTCAGGGGGAGCGTCAGGGAGTGAGAATCCCCCGCAGCCAACATTCAGCGGGTCGCTGATGGACGCCCCCGTGCCGATGCCTGAGCCCAGCTCAGCAGATCTGCCGGATTTGCTGAGCGGCATCGAGTCGACTGATGTGCAAGTCGGTGTCCTGCCAAGTGACCAGGCCAGGGAAGCGGTGCCTGGGGTTGGAAGGGAGGCAGATGGGCGGTTGGCAGGGTCCGCTGCTGCAGTAGCGGAGGCCGATTCTGCGCATTTAGAACAAGGGGCTGGTTGTGATGGTGGAGGCGCCGCAGGGGAGTCTGCCGGTAGGGAGGGGGGGGAGGAGATGTTTGCTGGGCTGTCTTTGGCGAACTCAGGGGAGGAGCATCCCAGCGTGAACATCGACCCTGGCCATGATCCTGTGGATGCCCCCGTTGCGGGTGTGGCCAACATGGAGCCTCAGGCCGGGGCTTGACAGGGTTCTGCCTGTGCTGGTCTTGTAGTTATTCAGTCTTGTGCTCTCTTAGTCGCTCAGTCTGGCGTGCTGTTGTAGTCTGCGCTGTACAGTAAGTTCAAGAGTAGAGGCGCCCTTTTGGGCGACGGTGCTGCGGGTGGAGTGTTTTGCAGTGTCGCAGAGGGTAGCAACCCCGATTGGTGTTGTATTGGCAGGAGCGCTTGCCAGGGGGTCGGTGGGGGGTGTTGCGAGATGTAAATTTGCGTTGATTGCAGTTGTCAAGGATGTGTCGAAGCGTTACCTTTCCACCAGTTGGGCGAGTTTCTACTTTTCTTCTTTCCTTCTTCCATGAGGCCTAATATGCTTTTCCCCCAACGCTGTCGATGGTGAAACGCTCACGACTCTGCATTCCATGCACTCTCAGCGCAATGTTTGGGTATGCGCTTTTCGCCTTTTCGCAACGCTCAGCGCCTGTTCATGCAAATTCGTGCTTGGTCGCTGACGTCCAGTCAGCCGCCAGTCTTCAGGCGACATGGCGCAATGCTTAATGGCAAATACCATGCCTGCATAAGGTGTACTACTGAACAAAACTGCAGCTGAGGACAGTGCAAATGTACCTGTTTCTCTGCCGATACTTTCCGCTAGCAAGTCCCAAGCCCCCGATGCAGCCATGCGCTTGATCGTGATAGTGTGACAAGAACATCTGAAGCGTTTCCTGCCGAACGAGCTGCAAGATGTAAGACTGTTCGCAACAACAAGCAGCACGAGCACACATCGTTGTGGTTTGAGAATTGGCACCCTTCTCTGGCCTTCCCTTCCAGAATTCCCTCCAACAGCTGCGGGCCCCGTTCAAGCGCTGTCAACAACGTGGACTTGACACCCGCTTCTTGTGGCCCACAACAGCACGTTTTTAAGTGTAGCTAGATATCTTCAAAATGAATGGCACAACGTGCAGGGCTTGACGTTGCCTCCTCACGCCGGTATCCGTTCTTTTGCGTGGCGGTATGAATAATCCCTTGTTTAACAAGCAAGTAATACTTGCTAGCCTGTTACCAAGATACTTTTTGGTGCTACAACTGAGTACGCTAGGCTGAGCATCATGGGCATTCTGGTGACGAGGACATGGGGACAACAACAGACCGTGCCCGCACAAAGTTTCATCGAACAGTCCGCACATTGCCAAACGAGTGAATAGGGCAGTGATTCGCCATGTGTTCCCACATGTCGCCAATGAGAATAACAGTGCCAACACACTCAATGGACACTGAATGGCAACACACCGACTGCTTTGTAACGCTAACTCGTGCTCGCCTGCCAGCCTATCCCCATGTGGCACATGGCCGCTGCGTGGCTCCCATCCGTCTCGAATCCTTCGTTTCACCACAAGGAGGGTCTGGCACATGTGCGTGCGCCCTCGCTTTGTGCGAAGGAAGCAGATCGCCAGTAGCTGGAGCACCCATACGCTACTATCCCCAAACATACCACAGTTGCATCTCGAGCTACCAGGACAACCGCACAAACAACAAATGACGTCCGACATGCCGGCGCGTTGCTGCACAAGATGGCGGCAATTTTAAAAGCTTAACAAATGAAAAATTGAAAAATAAAATGGAAGTTTGGAAAAAATAAAAAAAAAATCTGGAAATCGGCAATTGCAGGGAACAGGCCCAGGTGCCAGTTCTGTCCCACAGTCCATGCCCAACGTCGACTGTTGGGTTGAGCCCCAGCGGCTCCGTTTCTCTACCTTGAAGGCACAATGGGCTTCACAAGAAGGGGTCCCTGTCCTGTTTGGCACCTTCCCAGATCCGTGGCACTAAAGTTTGTCTCGATTGGACCCCCCCAAGACGTTGGTATCATTCTCTTGTGCGACAAAGGTTCCCTGCACTGCCAAATGTGCTACACATTGTTTTTGGGCATTTTGGCCGTGCTCACAGTGGTGCCCTAGTGTCATGCGCAGGAGAGCTCAACAGGCTTATGACACAAACGCGTCCTTCCAAACGAAGGACTTCAATTAACTGCGGACAGGGTAAGCGCGATTCAGCAATCACTGCACGGGACCCCCGAAAGGCGCGGCTTCCACTCACTATCATCTTCATTACAAGGGACCGGGAGGGAGCACAAATGCGCGTTCCTAAGTACGGTGCTGGCCTCAGCACCCAGGCGCGACATCGCCCACAGCACCAGCGTCCTTTCCCGCGGACGTCCCCAGGACTGGGCTTCGCAAACATGGCCAACGCCGAGCGCCGCACACCCACGTGCATCTCCCAGCGCAATGCAATCCCTCCCTATCTCAGAACGGAAACTAAAGGAAAAAGGCCAGATTTCCAGCCAAAGCCATTATCTAGCAAACGCCCCGGTCCCGCCCAAGGGGGCAGCACCCCAAAACTGCAACTGCACCACCTGTCCCCACACCCCAGGCACCGTGGCCGCCTCTCTTTCAACAACGCCATGGGGCGCGGGGGCTCGGTGGGGGCGCCGCCACCCACACAACGCTAGACGGCGCAAGGTCCCTGCTTCGGACTGTGCTAGCAAATGCAGTAGTCAAAGGGGTTCGTTCGCTGGACGGGATGTTCCCTCGATGCCCCACACTCAGCCCCTCCGTGCAGCAGCTGCCGAGGGCGCAGTGAAAACAGGCTGCCGCCACAGCCCAGCTCCCGCGGACAAATACAACTGTTGACACATACAAAGACACACGCGTGCAATCGCACCACATACACTCAACGAAGACACATGCATGCACATGCACACGCACGTGCTCGCCCCAAGCTCCAAAGGTTCGTTTGCTTGTCCCCCGGCATATGCTTCCCTCTGACCACCAACTGAGGACTGGAGAAGGTCACTGCGCCGAGGCTTCATTGGCGTGATTGTTCCCGGCGCCTTCCTTCCCTTGCTCTGCGTCCTGATGCAGCAATGGTTGTGCAACAAATGCAATCAGAAGCATTCCACAGCAACGACTTCTTGTTAGCTCATCCAAGTCACACTTTGTGCATCCATTCCTGCCGAACAGCACCCTTGGGCCTAACCATATGTTTGTGAACGATGCGCTGAAGATTGCCTGGTAGGTGAAAGGGCAATGCGCTTTCATGTCCTACCATATGATATCACCTTCTAGTATCTACTCATATTATTAACCATGCTTTACACATATGCCACTGTCCTGTTTCTGCTATGAGTTGGCAGCCCTCGCAAAAAAGCACAGTAAAGGCCATTCACAATATAACCATCACCGCTCTGATCGGTAATTATTCTGCATTGGTGGCTGCACTTGGTTGAGGATTAGATCGATGTTATGTCACAATTCTGTGTTGACACAATCAAACCCCCAGATGTAGACAGTTATCTTCAGTTGTAGCCCTCCTCTGGTACTCGTCGATATCACCCTTTGCCATTAGAGACGACAAAGTCTATTACCAGTGATCCCTCCCTTGGTGATTTCCTTGTTTTGAGCTTGAGGCATTTACGCTGATCAGTTGGCGGATCAGCGCCAATCCACATTTCCCTCAGTAGCAACCATGCCATCACACTTCCAGTATTTCCTTTCATGCATAGCACCTATCCTATTCTAGCAGCTGCCATTTCCAGTATCAAACTGGCAGGGACGCTGCCCTTACCATGATTCTAAATAAATGTACAGCACTTTTGGCTGAGGGTGTCATCGACAGAAGCCATCGTTTGGGGTTGGGGCGTGTGGTGCCCAAACTACTCATCCCAATGTCTAGATTGCAGCTGAGCGAATAAACAACAGCAATTGGGCCACAGCTGCACAGGTGCAAGGGCAGGGCTTAGTCAGCTCTTTTGACACCTGTAGCAGCCAAAAATGACCACAGCACCTGACATCCATCCCCAGAGACTACACTGACGTTGTAGTCTTTGCTGAAACTGAAGTCTAGTTTTGATTGGGTTCAGGGCAAGCAGCTACCAAGGAGACTACTATGTCAGCAGAAAGTCCAGTGCTTGATTGCCAATACCCACCTGCATGTCCGAGGTCCACAACGTCAGGTTGTCCCTCAACAACTGCATTATGAGCGTGCTATCCTTGTATGACTCGTCGCCCAGCTTGTCAAGCTCCTGGATAGCCTCATCAAAAGCCTGCAGGCGTGAAAGTGTGGTCAGCTATGCCACCAGGCACCCTCAACACAGTGCGCAGCCTCACACAGGCAGCATTTGATATCTTGCTTCACACCAACAACCAAATCTTGACCAACTCTTGCCCACCAACCTGCACAAGGGCATGTCCATAGGGGCTGGGGCGAGCAGCAATGCTCCACTGCTAACATCAAACTATTGTGGAGATCAAGCTACAAACAGAGCAGCTTAGATGCTCTCTATGTGTCGTGTGCATTGCATCACACGGCAGAAGAAGACAGTGTGGGTGTGCATGCACATACCAAAAGAAAAGATACATCGCTCCCACAACTTTGCAAAATTTGATACTTGCGCCACATCAATCCTGATCAGCAATCAAATTCATGTTCACGATTGTTCAATCTTCCTCCCATAACAATTTCAAACAGCACTTGCATGGGTCAGGTAGGCAGTTGTCAACCACCTGGCTAGACTGGTGCTGGCACATTGTTTCAGCTTGCTCACCTGCTTCGCTAGGTAACATGCCCTGTCTGGAGAATTTTCAATCTCATAGTAGAAAACTGAGAAGTTGAGGGCCAGGCCCAGACGAATGGGGTGAGTGGGCACCAAGTCAGCGAGGGCGATGTCCTAAAGACAAAGGAAACGATATAAGGCAAGGTACAAACGTACGAACAATACAAAGGTGCGAAACAGGTATGCACATGGTAAACAAAGGCACAACAGATACTGCAGGCAGCAAAATACAGCAAGCAGTGAAGTATAATGAAACTGGGAGCAGGAATTGGCACATGATTGTCACAACCTGAAGGACTGCTATACAAAGGCTGCCCACTCCTAATGAAAGTGCTGGAGGCTCTCCTGTGCACCGTGAAAAATGATATGGATTGCCTGTTGATTGCCCAACTAGGTACGCAGCATGACCAGGGCGATCAATGGGACATGTTCGCTATGTGGAAACACACAAGGCGAGATGGGATCAGACCAAAGCGCCACTGCCCACACCACAGATGGCAGATGCAGCCCGCTCATTGGTGCCTGAAATGCCAAGGCGCACGAGACACCGCAGCCAGCAGGTGTCTGCCAACAGCAAATGCGCCCTGTCTGCAGGCACACCTGTGCAGCCTTGTAAGCCAAGTAAGTCTGCTCTGCTTCTTCCTTGCGCGTTGCCGATGACTTGAACTCGGCAAGGTAGCGGTGGTAATCTCCCTTCATCTTCAGATAGAACACCTTGGACTCCCCCGAAGAGGCTGAAGGGACAAGGTACTCGTCCAAGAGGCCGAGGATGCTGGTGCAGATGTCTGCAAGCTCAGCTTCAATCTGCCACCAACCCATCAGGCAGTGAGCCGTCAGTTCGCTGAAAGGGGAACGTGGGGGTGCCACAGTGGGACCGACAGCGGCATTGACAGTCGGGGTAAACCCTGTTGGCAGGGCTGATAAGGGGCGCTGGAAGTGAGGTGCTCTTGTTGTTCAGTGCAACAAAGGAGCGTTCCAGGTGCGATGGTGGATCTCTGGATCACTGGATGTTGTTCGGACGACTGCCAGAGCCACAACCAGCAAAGTCGCGCTGGCAAGGGAGGATGCAGTCATTCGCCTTTCGGGGGCCCGCAAGCAGCTCCAGAGCCACAGGGCAACGCCGGGACCAAAGCTCGGCACGGAACCCGCTCCGTGTTTGCAACGGGCGCCCGGAATCACCTGGCAGGCGTAAGGGCTGCACTTTGATGGACAAGCCATTCGGCGACCATTCGCGCGGACCAAGCGCAGTGGGCACGCTGGGAGCCCACAGCGAGGGAGAGGGAGACCAAGCGGCGCCCGACCCCCCGGCACACCTCCACCACTGAAAAACCAGGCGAACAGCCAGTCCTTTCCGGCGGCTTGGCAGACCACACGCAGCCAACCCCGTTCCGGCGACCCGCCACGCACGATTCAACCCCCTTCACCCCACCCCACGCACTCCGGGCCCCCCTCAAGCCGCAACCTTCCAGCGTTGGACGCACTCACAGCACTGCCATCCACGTGCTGGGACGGAACATTTATACCGCTGTTCATCCGCCATGCATGCCGATCACCCACGCACACCGCACAACTCCCGCCCAACGCCCACCGGCCACTGCCTCCTTTCCCCCGGAGCCGGAAAAGCGCTGCTACCGGCCTCAGCCGCCCCCCCTAGCCCCATAACGCCGCCGCAGCCCGAAGGGCGGCATCCGCGCTTCGGACGCCGACGGGGGGCATCCGCCCTTCGGGCGACGACGGGCGCCAATCCCGCACCGGCCCGCCGCCACCAAAAGTACCGCGCAGGCCACACCCCGCCGCCAGCCCACT